AGAAGACTCCACCTTTAAAATGAAGAGGTGAAATATCTCTGTTCAAATGACAATACTAAGAGTTTTTTATGAGTCATGGTAATCTATTTGCTTTAATGACTTGAAAGTCTATTATACACCTTCCTTCATTGAATTTTTAAGTTCTACATAAGAACTATTATTTTAAAATCCAGTTTTTCATGTCCGTTCATCTGAGGGCCATTACAAACTCTCCTTCAACCAAGCCAAACAAGCCTGCATTGAACATGGTGCCAAAGTTGCAACACCATACCAAATGCATGCTGCATGGGAGGATGGGCTAGATTTCTGCGCATGGGGTTGGGCATCTGATCAGAAAATCTATCTCCCCACCCGTTATCCTTCAGATGGCTGTTATAGTCGAAGAGCCCTTACAACTGTACCGAAAAATGCTAACTGGAAGTCAGATGTATATTGTTCGTGGTAACTTGAATGTGAACATACTACATGTATAACACATATTTGGCTGCCATTAATTGCTGAATAAATAGTAGAAGTAATAAATAATAGAAGCAAATATGTTTTTCACTGATTTTGCATTGCAGTTAGACCTAAGGCAGACCCCTAATTAAAATTTAATTTCTGGACCAATGGACACTGTATGAATAAAAATAGTTTTTGCTATCGAACTGATGTAAGCCTAACCAAAGCAACTGAGAACAATAACTTCTTGACGTAGATTTTCACTAATAAGTGTCTATATTAAGTAACACACTTTGCATTTTATTTGCATTGATAATTGATGGCAGTGCACAAAATGTGCCGATTTTTTCCTTTTTTGTAGATTTTGATTTTGAGAGTTCAAATCCACACACTAAAAATCCCAATACATGAATAATAATGATAGTGCACAAAATAATATTACACTAGAAGATCTATCTGGATTTAGAAGCAGAAAAGAGTACACCAAATAAAGGCATAACTTCATCAAAACTGAACCCATCAAGCTGATTTTCAAACTAAACCTGTACTTTAGTAAGATTGATCACTCCTGTGAGTTGCAAAACAATAGACATATCAGTTTTCCTTGAAATGTGTTTAACTTATCAGTGTTCCATGTATGCTGAAGAAAGAAAAAAAAATGCAGCATAACTTTTGTAAAAAAAAGTCCGATCAAGCTGATTTTTCAAACTAGACCTGTATTTTAGCAAGAATGATCACTCCTTTGAATTACAAGACAATAGGCTGATTGGTTTTCCTTGAAACATGTTATCAGTATTGCATGTATGTTGAAAAAAGTGAAAAAACACCATAACTCCGATAAAAATGGCTTGATCACGCTGATTTTTTAACATGACCTGCGTTTAATAAATATTCATCGGTATAAGTTTCAAGCCAAAAGGTACAACGGTTTTCCACTTATCGTGTAATCGGTGTTGCATATATACTGAAAAAAAAATGAAAAAAAAAACAGCATAACAGGTAAAAATGGCCTGATCATGCTGATTTTCGAACTTGATTCTGCCTATTATAAACATTCATCAGTTCTGTTAATTTCAAGCCAAAAAGTAAAATGGTTTTCTACTTATCGTTTTATTGGTGAAAGTGCACGGTGACCGCGACAACAGACACATATCTAAAATGCTTGATGTTTCAAGTTCTCTAACAGATGACAACTATGCTATTATGTTAAAATTATCACAATACTAAGTAAATTGTTCAATTTCCAAATTAACTTAACAAACACTGAACAGTTGTGTTATACAAAACTGTTTACCCCCTTTCAACTATTTCTCCTTTCTTTTATTTTCTGAAATTGCAGAGCTAAAGGATATAAAGGTCATCACTGCAAAAACTAAGATAAAAAACACATTAAAAATATATGTATAAAAAACATGTATTGAACTTACCGTTAAATTTTGCACATTCTGATACTTGACATATCTTAGATTTACAATGCCGCCTTCTTTTATGTCGTCTGGTGTCAGTCTGAAGATACAAAGTGCATAATTCATTTCTGAACTTTAATGAAATGCATTTTCTGGAATTCTTTTAACCTTTTATAATGGAAAACAGATGCCTTATAGAGTTAAAGTGTAAATGATGATGCATTGATTATTCTTGCAATAATTTTCATATCAGGCTAATTGTCTTTTCAAAGTTTTCTTGTTTTTGACTTACTCGAAGGATTGCACTGGCTCCATACTTTCTGCAGAATCAAAGTCCATTGTTTTTGGTTGATTTATAAAGATTTTAACATTCTTTGGTCCCTTATCTGAAATATAATTTTTTAAAAATTCAAAGTATAAATAAGAGTCAACATAAAAATCTGCAATTTACAAGCACTCTCAAGAACTTTTAATATAAAAATAGCACTATTTACATAATGTACAAACCTCTCATGATACTCCACTGTTTCAGGAATATAGTTGAACAAAATATTAAAAGATAAATTGCAAATGTAGAATGCAAATTTAAAAGCAGCCTTTCTATAAGAGCATCACTGCCACATATATTACATGAAGACTGCCTTGTATTATTGATTATATCTGAATAAATCTGCAATGCATTTCAACCAAAGACCTGTTAAAAGCATTTCATTTCAGGGAAATTGGCATGTGTAACAATCCATCTTCTAGAATAATCTATTTAAAACACTACTTACCTGGAGGCCCATATAGCTTGAAAGAATGCAGTTTCACTGGTTGTGAAAATTCCCCAGCAATAATCAGCTGTGAAAATTAATAATAATGTATAGATAACATCCAACGCCTTATAGAACAATTTAACAAAGTTAACCAATATTTAATCATACTAACATACTGTAAATTACAGTGTATGCAATACATACCCAGTCTAAGAGATGTTATGTGACCATGGCAAGATATAAGCTTTATTCTGCTCTAGAGCTGTTTTCTCAGTGAAATGTGAGACATTCTCTCGCTATGTATGTCAAATCTCCTGTAATATATATGCTCTTAACACAATTGCTGACCCTGGAGGTGTTCTAGCATATATCCCATGGGTGACAGTATATTATCTCACACATAAAGGCAAATTCTTCCTACCTGTTCATCACAGTCGGACTCAAGATGACCACTGCCTGACAATAAGTCTGAGAATGGATGGTCATCTGATTCATTAAGACATTCGCAACCACCTTTCATAAAGAACGATGACAAATCAATCTGCAAATAAAAAAAGATGCCATAGGTAAATCATGAATAGCATTTAGTTTATTCTTATCATGAGCAATATGAAATTGTGCAGTATAAGCTCAAAAATGTCTGCAGTTGTCGGCAACTCCCATCATGGAGTAAGTGATCAGAGTTGTTATTGGAGGTAATACCTTACAATTTCATGTAGCACTCGATAAGATTCAGATGAATATTTTTCATGTTTTACATTAACTGTAAACAGAGCTAATAAAACTGTTTTCTCAAGTTTGCCAAAGCCAAAATGTACTTTGATCAGCAATACCACTGTTCTCATAACCTGCACAACCACCTAATCTTCCAACCCAAACAGATTTTTCTAAAATACTGCTTTTAATACAAATGTTAAAGAAACTTGTATGTGTTCTATAAGAAAACAAAATATTCCCAAAATATTAAAATATTAAGAATTTGTAAGAATTCAAGTGTGACAGAACGTATTACAGTTCTATTAAAGACCAAGCTTGCTTTTCTCTTTTCGTGTTTGTTAAGTCTTAAAAAGTAAACCTAAGTCATAAGTAGATTATGAAATGTCTTACATGGCCCTGTACTGTAGTATCTTCCCCTTCTCCATTTTCTGAATCTCCACCATACCACTTCTTGATCTTTTCCTCTAAACCTGCAGGATCCGCACCTTTTTGGCTGTCAATTTTAGCCTGACTTTTGAAAAATATAAATGTTGGCATAGCAGAGATGCCATTTCTGGCTGCAGTTTCCTGTAAAAAAAATTAAGAACTGTCTTTAACACATTATTTTTATATCTTAAAAATAAGAAACCAGTCTAAATATGATAAATTATTGCTTAATAAAAGGTCCAGTATCAGAGTTATCCATGATTATAATCATTCTACTGGATAACTGACAACATTCAATCATTTAGTAATTTAATTCATAAAAGAAACATAATGAAATGCAGCATTCAATTAAATAGTACTCTGTATATTAAATATAAAGGTGATCCTTGATCAAGTTACATAAATGAATAATATACGTTAGCATTGTATAAAGACAGAATAAGAATGGAATACAGTTAAAAGTTATTGAAAAAAATTCTAAACAAGGCACTGAATGGCAGAAAGGGATGACAATGTGGGGTAAATAATAAGAAAAAAGTTTCAAAATTATTAATCATAATCTACTTAATACACAGTAACACTATCTGGGACCTACAATTTGCCAATGCTAAATAAATACATGTATGAAACCTGTGATTTTCTTTTCTTTTACAAACCTACCTGGCACACATCTACATCCACCTTTAAAAACACGGCATTCGGATACTTTACTGCCAACTGTTCCACTATTGGAGCAATATTCCTACACGGCCCACACCTACAAAAATTACAAATAAAACACAAAGGATTTTTTAAGTCCCATAAGTTTTTTTTTTTTTCTTTATTATTCATATCAGTGACAAAGGACAATTTTGTGAATAAAACAATGTTTAAAATTGAGGATACTATTACAAAAAATTATTAACAAACGGCAGCAACACGCCTTTCTTTACACCAGAGATATCTGTGCGAAGAAAACAATAGGTAGGCACAAAACAAAATACATCGGAGTGGGGATTGTACCGGCCGGATGCAAAACACTTACCATGTGGCAAAGAAATCAACTACCACCAGTTTGGTACCTGCGTTTTTCAGTTCTAGCTGAAAGTCCTCGTCTTTCTGTATTTGTTTCACCGCCCCTGCCATTACAAAAAGATCAAAACAACTAAATTATAATCTATATTACAGCAAGTCACAAATATCGCGCTGAATCACAGCCTCGTTTCGACTTAGAAATGGATAATCCACTAGCAACCGATTTACTCACAAGAGGGGACTCCTTAGCAATGAGAACTAATGTTGCGCTGCCGTGTGCCTCGTTTACCGAATGCAAATGGCTATGAAGTAATAAGTATGGTTTTGGACAAAGTTAGATGATGTCAGACGCCGTGGAGAAAGCATTTGCAGCAATCCCTGGACTTATTAGTGGGGGCTTGACGACTATCACTGCAGGCTCCCCAATCCATGTCCAGGGCTTTCCATCGTTTGTACACAAAGTCTGTTCATTGACCTCAAAATATGTGAGTTCGAATATGATTTTACGGGTTCTTCTGGTTTTTCACACTAGTGATATTTTGGGCTTTAATTCTCAACAGCTGATAGGAATGTGGCAGTAATAATAAACAACCTAATTATTAAATCATGCATGTAGATCTTCTATCCTTAAGCTGTTCACATTGATCTACTATATATTTTTTTTCAGGAAGAAGAACAAGTTGTGAAAAGGGAACTTACTTTAGTCAAACAACGATTAGCACAACCAAATATTACACAGGTATAATTATGTTAGCATTTTGTGTAGTGACACTTATAGTTATGATTAGTTTCTTATAGCAACAGCTAAACTTAGAGATATAACCACTGCAATATTTCATTATATTTCAGTGTTCATGAAACTGTTATTGTAACATTACACAGCTGGTGAAATTCTTTGCTGCATTTTGCTGAATTTATTTTGTGCCCATGTAAAATGAAATGCAATTGGCAGTACTAATAAGCTAGACAACCATTGAAAAGTTAGTTCACATTTGTCAGGTGCACATTACACACATTTCTTTCAATCTTAGCAGAAAGCTTTATGTCTCTGTTCTTTGTTTAATTTATAACGATTAATACATTATGTATAGCAGCGACTTTTTCCTGGTATTTCATATAATTATAATATCCAAAAAGATACAACTTTATTCTATTATTATTATTATTATTATTATTATTATAAGTAAGAAATAATAAGAATTTTTATGACTTGTGATCTACTTTTGTATTTTCAGGCTCAGCAAGCAGATTGTCTGGTTCGTCTCCTGTTTGCTCATGTCTTGGGCTATGATGTCTCTTTCGGGTATATCAGTGCAGTGAAATTGGCACAGCAAGGAACTCTTGCATATAAAAGAATGGGTAAAATGATTTAACAGGCATTTATTTGTAAATTTCTTAAGATATTAAAGTGATTTTCAGTGAGTCAACAGTTTTCTTGTATATGTGAAGTGTTCAGTGGTAAAACATTTTCCTATATATATATATATATATATATATATATATATATATATATATATATATATATATATATATATATATATTTTTTTTTTTTTTTTTTTTTTTTTCTTTTAGGTATATGATTGGTTCCTATTTTACAATGCACAAAGTATTCTTTTCATTAAAAAATATATTTTATGTGATGTAGAAAAATATTTGCAATTCATTCATCTTAAAGAATTAATAGTCATGGTTCTGACATACAATACAATATTTTAATTATTTTTCAGGTTACTTAGCTTGCACATTATTCCTTCATGAAAACCATGAGTTGGTGCTGCTACTCATCAATACAATCCAAAAGGTAATGAACTTACTATAGGGCACTTTTCACATAGTGTGATATAGTTTTCAGAATATAAGTTATTGAGAGATACACAACTGAAAGGAAGCAATGCATCACCATAAGATTTTGAGAGATGCACAACTGAAAGGAAGCAATGCTGAATATAAATTAGTACACATCAAACATTCAGTCAAGTTCTAAACTCAGGAATACAAATGCATAATGTGATTTGAAGTGGGTTCATACATGCACAGCATTTTCTTGGTTGTATAAATGCATTTTATGATAAATTGTAGTAATTTTTAACTCAAAAGGTATTAAAAGTGACTCTGGGAAATACAATGTCATGTAATTGCAGTTTATTTTATTGGTAAATAGGAATGTTTTTAAAAAGAACAATTAAGAGTTTCACATGTAAACTTTCCTAACATAGATGCGTGTGATTTTAATTGTTTGATGTGGTTAAAATTTCAGGATATCAACAGCAGTAACATCATGGATGTTTGCATGGCATTGACGGCCACATGTTCATTAGTGAATACAGAAATGATACCTGCTATACTTCCCTTTGTACAAGAAAAATTAAAGCATCAGAAGTGAGTGACCTAATTTGAATCACTTGAAACTCATCTTAAATGTGCTATTCTGTAGTTTGTCCTTGAGAATTTATTTATAATGATAAACATTGATTAGAAATTCTGACAAATATAGGATGTGGAATCCAGTTGCATGAGATTGACAACACTTCAAAGACCAGGCATCAGTTTCAAAATCCCCCAAAGGCTGGGAACTGATGGAGAATTTACAAATGCTTGTTGCATATATATATATATATATCCAAAATCAGTGCACACTTGGGCCTTGAGTGTCATAGTCTTTGTGTAAGCTTTCCATTCTTTACACCCCAACTTTTTATTTTCCAATCCTTAACACCCTTACTTTCTAAATCTCTACTGGATACTTCTTAGATCTACATTAGCATGTTAATGTGATTTTTTACTGTGCTAGTAGAAAGATGAACAACAATGGCAAGTTCAGGCTGGGTACAGGTTTTTCATAGTCGGAACTCTATGACTATGACTAACCTGTACCCAGCCTGATGTAGAACTAAGAAGTAGGTATCCAGAAGAGACTTAGAAAGTAAGGGTGTTAAGGATTGGAAAATAAAAACACTCATTATCTCCATATTATAATGCTTTTGAGTTTATAGATGCACACATGAAATGGATTTATTCATAAATTCTTTTTACTGCATTGCATTATAGAGAGATTATTCGCAAGAAGGCAGTCCTTTGCCTGTTCAAGTTTCACAGGATGGCCCCCAATTCCGTTCAACATATCCACCCCAGTTTTAAGGAGGCGCTATGTGACAAAGACCCTGGAGTCATGTGGTCTGCCCTTCACATATATCATGACCTCATTAAGGTAACCATATTGAATACTTATATAAAAGTAGTTATATCCTTCAAATGTGAAGACATGATTGTTTCATAACTTTTTTACATTTGAGAAAATTACAATTTTTTACCAAATGTGATACATGTAGAATATGTACAAAGTAGTTGTGTTCAAAGAATAATATTATGTCAGATTTGAAATTCAGCAAATGTATTTTGAAATGAAGAAACGAGTATTGAAAAGTGTATTATTTAAAAATTTGTCACATTTTTATTCTGAGAGTGATGGACACTTTTTTATATCAGATATTTACAGTTTAAAATTTTTTGCTTTTGTGTCCATTTTCTTGTAGCACAGTCCCAGTGAGTATCAGGACATCACTCAGAGCCTGGTCTCCATTTTACAGCAGGTAGTGAGCAGAAAACTTCCAGCAGACTATGAATATCACCATGTTCCTGCTCCATGGCTGCAGATTAAGCTCCTACAGGTGCTAGCTTTACTGGGAAAAGACCAACAAAAGTATGACTCAGGACTTTTGTCCCTTTTTTTTCCGCCTTGTTTTATATCTGTACAGTTATTCCTTGGTTATGTAGTCAAGGTTTGCAAGCTGTAGGTCATTTAGGGATAAGATTGATATAAATAAATAGATAATCTCACTTTAAACTGTGCTTCCTGATAGTCCAGTTATTTCAGTTTCAAAACAGTTTGATCCTATCCCATGTATTCTTCACTGAAGATAAAGTTTTAATACATTTTAATACTGTTTTATTGAAATATTCATTGTATAGAAAATGCCAACATTTTTGGAGAGATTTGTGACAATAAATTATTTACAACATTATTTTAAATAAGACATTTTACTTGTAGGATAAGCAGGGTGATACATCCAGTCCTTGCAGAAGTACTACAAAGAAGTGAATCTAATCAAAACATCACGTTTGGTGAGGCCTTTTATGTTACAATGTCAATTTCCTGAAAAAGTAGTTTTTTCTTATATTTTATGAAAGCTTCCATATATTTTAATATAATTAAAATCCTCTTCTCAGTCTGTACTTATCTAAAAAATGAAAGATTGAAGCACAAGTAATCAATAACAACCTGCTTTAGATACCTCATTTAAATAAATTACAAGTATTTAGATGCAGGTTTAATCTTGAAGAAAGAATTATTGCACTTTACTATTATTGCATTTTAAGCATTTTAAATAATGGTGCATAACTTTGGTTTTCTGGTGACTGATTTTAGACTCAAATCTGTAGAAGTCTCTATATCTCCTTCATTCTGGAAAGTATGAGATTTATTTATATAATAAGGAGATCAACTACAAACACATTATAGAACTTGATTGTTATATACCAGTTTAAGGCTGCTTTTATATATATATGTATGCTTGGACCAAACGAGATTGTATGTTTACTGTGTAATTTAAAAGGTAGTCTGCATGATGGACATGATTATTTAACTATGGTGTGATTAAAATTGTATGGTAATTGGTTAGGCATATACAAATTAACATATTTCTGGGGTTGTAAATATTTTAAATTTTGCCAACTTGCAGGTGTGGTATATGAATGTATATTAACAATAACCAGCATAAGTCCAGATACCAGGCTGCTAGAGTATGCTGCAAAATGCACTGGGAAGTTCCTGAGGTCAAAGGCCAATAATCTGAGGTACTTAGGTAAGAGTTCACTGGTCCCTTCTAGCAGAATCTGAATGAATTGCAATAAAGGTCCCCAAAAGAAATGTGATAGTAAATAAATACAGATGACAGACACATATGACATTATTATCTTTAAAGTTGGTAAGAATAACACTAAAATTCAATTTGTAAAATGTACAGAATGTTATTGTTAAAGTTGATAGATAAAATACTAAAATTTGATTTGTAAAATGTACAAAATTGTTATTTTTTTATCTATCAAACGTATTGTAAGCTCATTCCTTTAATTATAAAAAAAGGGGCATAATTTTTTTTATTCAGGCATAAAAGCACTGACCAAAGTAATCCAGGTTGCCCCACAACATGCCCTGGACCATCAGATGACAGTGATAGAGTGTCTTGAAGATCCTGATCATACTATCAGAGCCAAGGTAATTACTATTCATAGGGCCTGTTCAGAACCATGGATCAATTATGGCCAACCCACTTGTCGTGTAATCCCTGATGGGAATGCATTTGGGGTTAATGCAGCAAGCTATCAAGTGGGTGGGCTATGTTTGGACAGTGGTTCTGTTAGTCTGCGGGTTTACTTGGTTCTGAACAGGCCCATAGTCTTCATGTTATCATTTTTTTTTTATTCATGAAGTCTTGGATTTTTATATTTTCTTTCTTGCAGACCCTGATTCATATTTTTTTTTTTTTAGTATTTGAGATTTTTTTCTTGGTAAAACAAAGAAATGTTCTTTTCTTCATATATGTGTTAAATATGTTATTCTCTTCCCCACTTCCATCTTCCTCAAGTTCTATGTCATATATTAATTTTTTTTTCTTTTTTTTCAGACTTTAGAACTTCTGTACAGGATGTGCAACTCTGTAAATGTAAAAGTCATTTGTGACAAACTCCTCGAGTACATGGAAAAAGACACAGAGAAGTCTATCAAGGGGGATATAGCAAGCAAGATTTCAAAACTCACTGAGAAATATCCTTTTTTGCTAACAAGTATATAATGGGCATTATGAAGTGAATTAAGATGGATATAAAATTCATTGTATATTATATAATACATAACAACGGTGTTGTTATGTACCACCAGTGCACAATATTTTAACTTTTTTATCGATATGAAAATCAAAATTATCTTCTCAAGATATATATTGATGATTCAATAATGGTTGTGGACTGCCTTTTGCTTCCTGGTTTGATCTATTGTGATCATTTCCTGAACATGTGCTACATATACTACCAATGTACAATGGTGCATAGAGATAGTCAACAGAATGGTGCTGCTAGAGGACTCTTTGGTCCCCCAAAGTACAGTCACTTCTTTGATACAACTAGTAAAAGGTAGGGGAAGAGTCTCAAAGGTACGTTTATTGATTTGTTTAATGTCAAAGACTAATTGATGTGTTCTATTGTCTTGAAATATTTTGTATTGACTAAACCCAATATTTCTTATTTAATTTTTTTTATAATTTGGGTATGTTAAATATGATAATTGTGATATATAAGTTTTATTATAGATAATTACTTAATAATATTTTTGTCAATAAATTTATCTGACATAAGCCACTGTTAATTTTTCTTATTATATTCAGAATCTGTTCACCTTAAAAATAAACTAATTACAGATGCTTCACTGAGAGGAGAAGATTCAGTCCTTCTGTTTGCAGTACAAACCTACTGGGAACTCCTGCAGAGAAAGGATGTGCCAAATAAGCTGATACAAATCGGTGCTTGGGTACGTTGGTCATAATATTTATGCTCCTGGTCAGTGTTAGGTCAGCTCTGGGATACATAAACAACCGGTGTTAAGTAGCCCTTTGTTACGCTGTCCTGACTCAGTGCCATGCTTGATCTGTTATCAGGTTGTGATCAATTTTTTTTCTCCAGGATTGAGAATCAACAGGTTGCACCATGTAGGTCAGTTGATGTTATCTTTATTTTGTAAATTCGTAAAGGAACCATTGATAAACAGCTGTATTCAGGACCCCAAGTTTGATTTATGGGTTCTATTGCTGTGCCAGCAAATATCTTTTTACATGAAGTTACATGGAACAGGTTTAGATAAAATCTGACATGTTCCTGTACATTGAAATCAAAGGTGCCCTGCTGGTTATGTATTGCAGTTTATTTCAAGGATTGTTGTTTTGGTGAGATATCTATTTTTTTTACTGCGTGGTGCAATTGTTTTCAATAAGATCTACCTTCAAACATATGTAAAACACGTCTTACGACACAGCTTGAACTTGACAGAATGGCAACATAAATACAAGTGCCAAAATGCCTTGCTGGATGGATTCATTAAGGTTATCACAATTCTAATTTGTTTCAGAGTACAAAAATGTGTAGAAGATAATGTTTTTCATGTTGGCAGTTATTCTACCTTGAAATCATGTGGTTTATGTTGTCACTTTCATAATCATGCTGATATAGTAACTCAATACCCAAGATGATTTCAAGAAACTTCTAGCATTTAAATTAATTCAGTTTGGACTTCTTTTATCAATAATCCACAATCACATACCTGCATTAAAAAGTTTTTAAGATTTCAAACTGTTAAGGGTTGAAGGTCAATGAGGATCACACCCAAAGAAAACAAAAGACTGAAGAAGTTTACTTTCAAAATATTCGAGAACAAATCTACAACAGCATCTCCATTGTGTCAAGTATTTTAATACCTGATCAGTACCTCTGGCAGCTTTCTTTGAACTTATACCATTTTTTATTTCCCTCAGATTTTAGGAGAATACAGTCAGCTACGTGTGGTAGATGGCTTCAATATTCAAGATCTTCTACAAGTGTTTCAAAGGTTACTTGTCTCTTCATCCACAAGCTGTGATAGTAAAAGGTGGCTGCTTACAGCTGTCACAAAACAGGTGCTACACTGTGAAAACGCAAAGGAATATGTCACACAGCTTGCCCAACACCTCCAGAATGAAGATGATGCTGATATAAAACAGGTACAGGCCTTATAAACGGATTAGGTGTTTACTAACACTACCAGTAGACCTTTTAGCACTAACACCCATATTAACCACATAACCCATAAATTAACCAGCACTAACAGAGCGGATGAATCTTAGTGCTAGGTATCGCTTTGTTGGTGCTTAATAATTGTACACTGTGTTGGTTATTTTGTGGGTTTTGTGGTTAATATGGGCAGTAGTGCTAAAAAGATCTGTGTTGTTATATGTTGTTATATGTATATGTGTTGTTATATGATATTTGGTTTTGGCCCCTAACATTTTTTTCACATCTTATATAATATAACTATTTACTTTTTTAAAGAGATTAAGAGAGCTTCAAAACTTGTGCCAAGAACCAATGACTACATTTGCTCAAGTTAGAACAGAATGCCAGAAAGAACAAGAAGAGGTTTGTATAAAATAAGTCAATTTATTCCATAAAAATCCTTAAAAAATAAGGTTAAAATACGTCTTCTAGTAGTAGCATGTTTCATGTGTTATTTGACCATCATCTTCCTGTGTGAATCACACGTAGAAATTTGCTAAACTGAAAAATATTAAAATTGAAGACTTACATTAAATTTTGTAATAAAGCTTCTTCAAAAAAAAATTATTTACAGATATTTTTGATAAGTTCATGATGTTGTATAAAGAGCAGCATTTCTGTCCCTCTTCAGTAATAGATTGTCTTATTAATCATTATCTATTTCAGTATGACTTTTCCTTGTCATTCCTTGATAATTATGTCAGTGAAGCATTGGAGGGAGGAGCCAAGGCATATTGCCCCCTTCATTTAAGAAATATGAAACAAAAATCACAGGACACCCCTCAAGGTACTAGTATTTGTCAAATAAGGTTTAAATAGACATGTTGGAAGTTGAAAATATCCAATAGTTAACATTTGAAATATAAATTTACCATTGGATAAAAGAGGTTCTACAAGAGAAGATCAATGGAGATTGTTGTGAAGCATTGTATGGTATACTAATAATATGAATACAAGTTTGAAATTTTTATTCACTTATGTGCAATACAGAATGTTTTGTTTACTTTTTTATTTAATCACTTTTGATACATAATTTGAAGTCTTATAATCTTTTACTCTTGTTGATAGAGAAAAAAGGATGTAAATAACATAACTAAGATAAATTTACAACAGTTTCAGAAACGTCATTCTTCCAAGGTATGAATTTCTTGCCATATGAAAGTCCAACTGCGAGTATCTCATCTCCAGTAGGGGACACATCTGTGAAATCAGGCAGCTCTGGGGGCAGGGATAACAGGTGATGCTTATTATTATTATTGCATACAATTTTGCAAATAGATACTGTTACAAATCTACATAAATTCAACATTTTATTTATTTATCATTTATTTGCATACAATTTTGCAAATAGATACTGCTACAAATCTGCATAAATTTTACATTTTATTTATGCATATTTATTTCTACGTATGCATATTTATTTCTACATATGTAATACGTTTGTGTTTATTATCAGTTAGCAAGTAATACATTAAAGTGTTTTTGTAGCATTCACCTAATTTTATTCAAATATGTTGTTTGAACTCACATAAAAATGAAAATATGTGTATTGTCGTTTATTCCAGAGATGGCGAATTAAGGTTAAAGGCTGTTAAGAAATTATGGGGACATACAGGAAGACTCGAACAAGAAGATGAAGTAGATCAAACACTCTATGAAGAAAACATAAGTGAGAAATGGATGGAGGATAGGAAGGTCTCAGACAAATCACAGGTAAGCATTTTAACTACCTCATTTGCTCTGTTCACAACCAAATTGACCCCATTCAGAATAGTGGACTTACTAGTCCAAGAGTCAAATATGGCGACCCACTTCACTAATAGACATTGAATAGATATCCCATGGGGAAGAATTGAGGTGGGGTCAGCCATATTTGATCCTCAGACCAGTTAGTACCCTATTCTGAATGCCATTGATCCACGTACTAACTGAGCTGAGGATCAAATATGGCGCAATCCACTTGAAAGCTTGGGGCTCTCCCTGCAGGGACGATACACATGGAAGACTGGGAATCTATTATGGAATTACCGACATGCTTTCAAATGCAAGCCATATTTGATCTGTGGCTCAGTTAGTCCATGAATTAACTTGGTTGTGAATGCTCCCATTGATTGTGTGGTTCTGTTTGTCATCACTGAGATATGTAAAAGTGTTCATGTCTTCAACAGAGATCTAAATCTAGACCAACCTTAAAAATCCAACCATTGGAATAATGTTGAAGCTTCCACTATAAAAGTCAACTGCCACATATGACATCAATTAATGTAACTTTTTCTTTTTGGATAGGATCTTTCTCAGAGCTCTCCACCATCTCTAGAGCTAGCTGAGAAAAGGAGAAAGCAAGAGCTTGCAAGTGCATTGTTCGGGGGAATCACAAGAAGTGAAGATATTAAAAATGATTTCATTGAGAACCCTGTAATTTTACCTGTTGGTACCAACCAAACTTTACTGAATACAGACAACACAGAGAGATGAAAGAATGTAGTATTAATATTCAAAGCTGATATGTACTTGTTGACAATAAAATATAAAGGTTATTGTTCTTTTCTTTGCTTTTATTTATTTGTGGCTTATACTGCCTGTTTATTGTTGTTAATAGTATAAATTATTACTGATTTTTTTAAAATTTCATTTAATAGATTGTATGTGCTTTTTATACAGATTTCTTGGTTGTTGTATTTGTGCTGCCCTAAAAAAGGCCAGATGTACAGTTTAAATGTTATCAATTCCTTTATTTTATGGGGATAAAAGCAATGATATTTGCATGGCTAAATTATACCAGTGAAGTCTTTAAGACTGGGTTCCCACACAGAGATCGATCCATCTGGATCGACCTAACTCCCTGGGGGTTCAGGCTAAATTGCTATCAGCTCAAGAGGCTTACATGTCTGTCACGCCTACCGAATCAGCTAGGGGTAAAGATAAGTACCCCCCACCCAACAGCTTTACTAGGCGTGACAGAGGTTTAAGCCGGTTAGTTTGATAGCAATCTAGTGAGACTCCCCAGGGAGATAGATCGATCCAAATATCTGTGGGAATGGTCCCTAAGGCAGCAAATATTTGACTAGAAAACTGTTAATGGGTAATGCAGGAAAACGAAAAGGTGCAAATATATTCCTAAGGATTTGGCTCCGCTTTTTTGTTTTTCTGTTTTTGTTAGATGAGAGTGTTGTTCTTTGGTAACAGCTTAAGTGTACAAAGTGTTACATTTTCTGGGTTTGTAAAGAGGGAGTAAATTGTTGAAATAGTTCTTTCTGTTTGCTAAAAGCTTTTTGCCTTCTGGGCATTAACTCGAGTACTTGTGTGGAGAAACAGAATACTTAGTTACAACAGTGTTCTATTCATTATAAAATTTCATTAAAAGGGGGTTCTAGTTTTACACAAAGAAGTCTTTTGTGCTTTATTGTTATGTTGAAAATCCATGGAAACGTCTACATATTATATAAGCTGAAGGCCAACACTAAATTGTCTTCAATTTTTCAATACCAAGGGAAATAATAATAAAAATACATTTGTATGCTAAAACTTGTCATGTTTTCTCTCTCCTCAGGAAACATTTTTCAAGACAGATAGGTGTGCTGTAACTTTGCCTCAACTACTTTATATTGTTGTATTTTGCCTGGTTTCACTTATCTTAAACCGAAAGGTTAATGAAACAAAAGCAAACGCTCTTTAAAAAAACTATTTAGCCAATGAACTCCTAAGGAGAGAACAGTTGCAAAGTCGCCCTGGTCGTCTTTTACTGATAGAGACTATTTATCTGGTTGTTGGTCGGTTGATCGATCCCCGATGAACTAAATTGAATGGTAATGGAACGCGTTATGTCAATGTATATCTTACTGCTACCGAAGCTCGCCAGTACAGGAAGCGATAACAGTAAAGGAGTGCAATCAATTTCCCCTTCCTTGTGCGTCGCACTCTGGAAAGTGGGTGACTATTTACCGAATGTTTGATGTATGTCTATGAGGTTTGAAAAGGGGGCTCCCACTTGTCAATCTTTATATTTTGGAATATTTTGGCGTTGCCGTTTCGGAGATCTCGTGGCGTTTTTTATCATTCAATCGCCTTGGCAGTTTGAAGTGCATTATTCGGTAATAATAATAATATATGTGTGTTGAATTTCTTTTCAAAGTCCTTGTACTCTTATAATGATATTTCAATGTAGGGGTCTTCCTTTTGAAGCCCCATGTTTTCCGTATGTTTTTTTTTTTTTTTTTAGACGCGCACCTGCCAAATCGCTCTCTCCGGTATGTAAAAGACCTACTTTTTTCTTCTTCTTCGGTATGATTTATGGAACAGTCCATACATCATTCACTCACAGGTAGTTCTGACACCCACCCACCAGATTGACGTCCGCATATATCTTTCAGCATGCAAATGCATGGTTAGTCTGAAAAAGAATAACATTTATTTTTGATAATCTTTCACTGGTTGAAATAATTTTATTTTTCTCTATTTAAATTTTTTTTCGCATGAAGAAAATTTCAGTACATGAATTATATACTTAGCTTCGGACATGATTGAATTTCAAGATATTAAGTTTATGTTCACATTTTCCTGCTGGATATAATATAGCATCCAGACTGAAAAAAAAAACGCTGGAGACCAAAAACGTACGCAATTTCTACCAGTATAAAAGCATGACAAAGAACTATTAACATATAGATTACACAAGTAGACAACAAATCGGACATTGTAGTCGACAATTGTAGAAAAAGACGCGTCATTTATTAGATAACTCTTCTTCCATTTAACGTTTTTATTACCCTGTGCTGAATTGCCGCAAGATCATTCTCGCGTTGGGACAAAAGCACAAAGAGTGCACATAACCTTATTTTTTAACACAATTGTTTACTGTAACGGATGCAGCAAGTAGTGGTTATGCGATAGCTTACGCAGGTAGATATCATTGACTATTTTTTACTCCAAGCAATATTTCTTGACATAGAGCATGAAAGATGTATGGAGAGTGTGCAATTTGCCATTGCTTATGTAGACCCCGTCTATACCGGGGAGAATGGACCCCGTAACACCTAGGATATTAAGGTGCCAATGCGATAGGAAAAGTAAAGTCTTGAGTACCTTTATGTGCAGGGACGAATAAGTAAAGTACAAATAGAGGGAGAGTGGGTCAATATTATTTTTCTATTTTAAGATCACAGGCAGTCGGGACATGTAAAAACATTAAATTTGTAAAACATTGTCTGCGCAACTAAAGAATTTGTATTGACTCTGTCTCTGACGCAGTTTTTGTTGATCTTGGTTTTTGTTTAGTGTCAATCTCAGCTTCACAACTTTTTTTCCATCTCAGTAGTAAGAGAAGGGAACTCTGAAGGGCACGAGAAGAATTCGAGGTACACTCCCGAAGACCGTGAGATCATCTCGAACACGCTGCCCGCGCGCCCTGTGGCACGTAAAACCGCCTGTTCTTCGTCTTCATTGTGTTTATCTCGTTTCACTTTTGGCCGAAAGGAAGTGTAAATCACTGCCACCTCGCTTTCAGCGTGCAAGTGTGCGGCAGAAACCCAGACTGTATATTTTTGTATCCAGAGGCAAGGTAAGTCAACACGGCAGTAAATGATCAAAGTGTTACTGTGTGAGTTATAATAAAAGTAGCTATTTACACATAAATGTAGAATTTCTTTTATTGGTAATTGAATATGGTGGGTAACTGCTAGGGGCGAGTTTGACAGCCCGCTGCAAGTTAAAAGTAGTTACTGACAACGTGCGACGTTTAAGGTAGGTGGGAAAAAAACCCGCTTATGATTGAACGATTTACCTTCGTATATAACGCCTTCTTTCACCTTATGATCACGGTAACAAAAGTCATAACGGTTTGAATGCTTTGAATTGGGAAGAGTGCATTTGGATGCCCAACAAAATAATACTCTGCTGGAGACGCTTTTTTTGCCATTGCATGCACAACAAACGACATTAAAACATTCGAAATTGGTGGCAGAGAGATGTGAGTCACAATGCAATACCCGGGCAATCGTTTCCGTCATCTGTCATATTCACCCGACATAAATATAATGCTCTGAATAAAAAGTGACTGGCTAACAACTTATAATGTGTTATAATAACAGGTCCTGCGGAGAGATAAGTGGATGAATTAAGTCAGTTGTCATAAAGTTGAACCGCTTCGTACGAGTAATATAGCAAGAGCTTCTAAATGCATGTTGTATCCCGATCTTGACTGGAGTTCGTGTAGGCCACATTACGTCATCTATTATTATATTTTATCCCGCCATTTTCCAATAACCAGTAAACACGCCCTAGGCGTAAATGCCATTTTACTTGTTTCAACTCATCTACGTTAGCTGCAAAATCACCACCCCACCCCCATCCTCAGTCGACTTACAAAAATGGAAAAATACTATGGAAAAATTTGGAGAGAATCTTGCTAACCTCCAAGCAGCATTCAGAAAAAGTATAGATGATAACTCGCTCTTAAATAGATAACAGATTCTTATTTTAACTTCGTTGATCTTGCAAGCTTTTTACAGGGATGGCAGGCCGGCGTAAAAACGAGCGGGCGCATGTAAGCGTAAATGTGTGCTAAAAACTGACCGCACTAGCCCGGGAACCGGAGCCACAAAAGATAAAAGATTGTTTGCTTTGAAAACGAATTGACAAATTACAATCAGCTGCTCGCGTAAGAGCCATGCATAAGGCCCGATTTAGTTTGGGTATTGACGCAATCAATCGGCATAGGTGAAACCTTGATACCAGCTGAAATCAGACACATTAGCAAAGCCGTTTAACAGAGCGAGGCATTTTGCGGATCATTGTGCCTCTCTCATTGTGCCCATCAATACGACCTTATACCGGGAAAGTTATCTTTTCTGCCGCTCGATTACATTCGTAAATCGTGTTCCGATGTATTAGTCATGAAATTGAATGGAAAATAGGTAGCTTTAACGCCACCCACTATGTGATCAACTGCTGCCAGAACCCAATTTGCTTCATTTACTTTTCATTAAGCTTGAGCCTAATGTAATTTATACATTGGGTTACGTAAAAATCAAGAGCTGCATTCCGCAGTTTCGAGCTGTTTTCAGTTCAAAGAAACATGTAACTCTGTCTTTAATTCAGTCCCAAGTTCTGTGTGTATGACTGAATCGGTGCGTGATGCCAATCTGTGAACGGATTCTTAGCAAGCACTAAATATTTTACGACTCAGTTTAATGCACCCATGATATTCGGTCCTACATCTGAGGTGAAATGTCAGTGTTCGTGAAAGTTTTTTTCTTTACATTATGTATTCATTTACGAGATACACCGCTTGTGTCAATTATCAAAGTATCTAAACTGTATATTTAAGCCCAAATAAATTCTAAAATTAAGAATTGATGACTGTTGCTACTGTATTACTGTAACCAAATACAACACTGCAGCAACGATTATGTATAATCAGAACAAATAATAGCTTACAGCTGTGTTCTAACTATAGAACGTTCAAAGCATCATCCCTGCTCCCTATGCACGTTTGAACATAATTATCCAGACTTCCAGATATTGCTGTCTTTTTGGCTGTTCGAATAGTACATAATTTGTAAAGGTTGTTTTGGTCACCGATCTTGTTATGTTATGTTGAAATTGGGGGTGCTTGTCCTAATTTTTTTGTGTACGTATTTTAACACTAGCATGTAAGATGTGATTTATCTTCTATCTTAGCACAAATGCATAGCGAGTAAAATAATCACTATGAAAAAGATGTTATTTATCTTCAATATTAACACAAATGCATAGCGAGTAAAATAATTATTGAATTCTCATCCCAAGATATGCGTTAACGCTGTCATGTGAAATTCATTATGATTATTCAATTGGTGCACAGCCGTGCATTTATCTCCTTATAAATGTAGTGTACTGCAGACCATTGTTTTTATTTCACTTTCAGTATTACAAACCATATGACTAACACCCCATTTCCATAGATTAGATCGACCTACTTTAGATCGACCTAACTCCCTGGGGGTTCACGCTAAATAGCTGTCAGCCGGGCGGACACGAAAGTTAATTACCCTCTTACAGCTTGTAGTAGGCGGGACGGACATTTAAGTCGGATTATCNTCTTCAATATTAACACAAATGCATAGCGAGTAAAATAATTACTGAATTCTCATCCCAAGATATGCGTTAACGCTGTCATGTGAAATTCATTATGATTATTCAATTGGTGCACAGCCGTGCATTTATCTCCTTATAAATGTAGTGTACTGCAGACCATTGTTTTTATTTCACTTTCAGTATTACAAACCATATGACTAACACCCCATTTCCATAGATTAGATCGACCTACTTTAGATCGACCTAACTCCCTGGGGGTTCACGCTAAATAGCTGTCAGCCGAGCGGACACGAAAGTTAATTACCCTCTTACAGCTTGTAGTAGGCGGGACGGACATTTAAGTCGGATTATCTGAAAGTAATCTAGTAAGACTCCCCGCGGGGATAGATCGATCTAAAATCTATGGGAATAGAGCCTTAAAAGGTGTATGCAAGTCTCTACTATAATACAAATATGTAACAAAAGTACTAGTGTTCTATGGCCTAGCGTGGAAGAGTAGGCGGTCTTGGGGCAAGGATTACTGGTATTTACAAGCATGATAAGTCCAAACTTAAGCAAATATATGAATTTATTTCTGTAATTTTCGCGGCATGGCACGAACGAGTTGTTTTCGTTAAGTTGTTTCTGCATCATAAGGAGGAAATGTTTGTATTTATAGATCCTAATATCTTATCGTTGCATCATCCCATTTGAGTGATTTATCGTTATAAATCTGCAGGTTTGTGTTGCCTGGGAATAGCAGCAAATGTACAAATGTATATGTCAATCACGAAAGACGCGCTTAAGTCGGGTTTTTCACATGATATTTAGCCCCACCACGTCAACTTAAAAATTTCGTATTAAGTGTTGGATCATATTGTTTGTTTCGAATGTGAGCTTCAGCTGGTTTATACGTGTTTTTACCAAGCGCATTTTGAGAACGTCATTCTAATGGGGCCCATTTTTACATATTTGATTATTCCATAATTTCACTTAAAATATAACGACTAATTTTGTTCAAAATAAAAATTGAAACTGATGGGGCGAGTTTGACAAACATGCGAAGGTTGGCTTTTTTACTTTACAATTTAATAGTCACTATTTTTAATATACTGAGCCCCATTGTTATGCCAGTGAAAATATTAGTGTGTATTGTTAGTGTCGCACGTTTATATTTGATCATTTATTGAAACGTGTCTAGTTATTTTGTCGTTTGCAAAATAGATGGAAGTTATTCAGATCAAGATCTGTATTGGGTCTGCCATGCGCCACGTGTGGAGATTCGATTTCTTTTGAAACGTTCATCTTTTTCAATGAACCTTAATAATGCCTTTTTTATGTTACCTAAACGGCTATAAATACTTTGACGAAAAGGTCACCATCAACGTCATTTTAGGCATTAATTTAAGTTTATGAAGACCGTAATTTTATGATCCTTTCGCAAGATATTGTTTATGCACATTTAGAAAATAAATAAAATATCGCATGAAAAACTTTTCCACACAAAAGAAATGTATCTTTTATAAGCTTCCAAGGTGTTGATAAGGATTTCCGAAACAATACTAAACTAATTTGTAAAATAAAGTCCTCTAATATAAATAGCACGGATTCTATATAATGGCATAAAACATCGTTTCTGTATTGATTCAAGCTATAAGAAAACTATTTATAGTTATGCCCCTCGACATTAACTTGTGGCCGTTTTTTGTTGAGAAATGGTACAGGTGAATACTTTTATAAATAACAGTACCTTGGGAATGTTTCGCGCCTAACGTCTCATTTAGCAAAGAAAATATTATCCCATCGGCGGTGTGTGGGTTTTCCTGTAGGAATTGTCATGTGAAGAAAACCAAAATGGGTCCAGTGACGTGTTTTTAAAGAATAGACACGTCCAGAGCAAGTGTCGTAATAATAATGCCCCCCTATCGAAGCTGCGTGGCTAAATTGACTCAGCGCACAGCACGCAGGTAACATTGTGATGTATGGTCCCTATCAGTGTTCGTTAATTGTTCATGTAACAATGCAGCAAACAACTTCAACGTTAGTAAACACCAAACGACAAAGCTGTAAATCTTCGACATTTAGGAGGCAGCTTTGTGAATTTGGTGTTCAATCCCCCTTGCTGACTGCAACCATCTGAAATAAGACCCCCGAGTAAATATTTAAAGACTAGCATGGAGGTTTTAATCCGCAGCAAATATGTTACAGAGTCCTTTGCTATTTCTATCCAATGTGACGTTTACGAAGGTGTCGCGTTACCTGTGATGGCAAATACTTGAATGAATTGATGTGCGCGAATAACTCGAGCCTCTCACGTTCTGGTCAGTGACTAGGCGAAGGAATAAATAACCGCGTTGAAATAACACGATTTGATTAGCACAGATAGGATTAGTTAAAACCTACCCTCCAGGTCCGTCTGCCGCTAAATTAAGGTGGGTCTTTAATCTTGATAATTGCCATCTGAAAAGAGCTAATGAAGAAGAATCGAATCACCAGGGAAGTTTTGGCCTACTGATATAGTTATGTAAAATGATGTAGAGTGTTCTGTTACGTGAGGTTACCCCTGTGTTTCTTGCTGACGCCTAATATAACAGTACGCATTCTGAAGGTTCGCTCACTCCGATTGAAAGAGGTCACGCTAGGTGAAGTAGGTAATGTGTTTTTTATTCCAACAACCAAAATGTTTTCTACGATTTACAGCTGTTCCTTTTTTGATAATCGATGAATGATATAAGTGCTTTAGGGAACCGTGTTACTACTTTAAGTTGAGGTTAAATACCACTAGAAGCCCTGACCTTATGACACGTGGATCGCTTTACAGAAGAGATTTAAATGATACAACTCGAGAAGCCAGGTATTGCAGAAGTGAGAGGCATCTAAAATTATCTTCGTTGCTGCACCTAGGCTTGGATTTGTTGCAGCGAACAGCCCCTATAACCGCCAATGTTTTTTCCCCCTTGAAGCTAGCTTCCACGGCAAATCAAATATTTTTCCTTACTGACCGCCATCTGCTTTTAACTTCAAATTAACATCTGGTGTTTGACTTTTCTTCATCCGTTTTAGTTTTTATTTGATATCAACAGATTTCGTAAAAGATAACAGCGTGGATATCATTTTTGCACTGAGCAAACTTGGGCGGACGTACTGGACACAAGTCAACGTGTCAATCATTCTAACCTTTACCGTGCATCACCTCACTCCCAGCCAACCGTGCTGAGATAGCCTTGTCATTCTTGACTGGGCACTTTCATCGAAGTTCATTCACGTCTTATCAACGTTCAATCAACATTACATGAGTGGTCAAACTTTTCATTTTATTTCAGGCACATAGAAGAGACCATGCACACACCCTGGCTATCTTTAATCACCTTATGGTTGGTGATGCCAAACGCACTTCGGTCCCAGTCAGTTCCTTACGACGTTGGTCAGACTGAAATCATCCTCCCTATTGATGCCTCCACCAGCGTGAAAGGAACGCGCTCGAGCGTGCTAGGCGATTCGGTGGATTCTTTTTTGGGTATCCCCTTCGCTCAACCACCAGTTGGTGACATGCGCTACAAACGCCCAGTGCCCTATACCGGCCCTTCCTGGACGGGAGAATTTGACGCAACTAGACAGCCCAACTCTTGTCCACAAACCTTAGACAACGAATTTGGCCGTCACCCCGGAGTGGAGATGTGGAACGCAAACACCAAGCTGGACGAGGACTGTCTGTATCTGAACATTTGGGTCCCTTTTCCTAAAAGTTCTGAGAAATTCGCGGTAATGATCTGGATATATGGCGGTAGCTTCATGACGGGCACAAGCACCTTGGCTGTCTATGATGGTCGCACACTCGCTGCAAAAACTAAGGTGATCGTTGTATCTCTGCAGTATAGGTTAGGTCCCCTTGGCTTTGCTTATCTTGGGACCGATGACATTCCCGGTAACGTTGGCTTACTGGACCAGCAAGCTGCTATACAGTGGGTGTACAACAACATAGAGCATTTTGGTGGAGACAAAGATAGAATCACTCTCTTCGGTGAAAGTGCTGGGTCGGTGAGTGTGTCATATCATATGCTGTCACAAAAAAGCTGGCCTTACTTCAACAGAGCGATATTGCAAAGTGGTTCCGCTTCTGCCACATGGGCCTACCAATCTCCCGATGTGGCAAAACGAAAGACCATCAAATTTGCCGAAATAGTTGGATGCAAAACAAAAGGAGTTACACTTGAAGCAATCTCAAAATGTTTAATAAGCAAAGATAAAACAGATATTGTTAATCACCAATGGGATTTGGTCAACATGTATTTCGACGTTCCTATGGCTCCAACACTGGATGGTTATTTTATTAATGAACCTCCCATGGAATCGATAAAGAAGAAAAAGATCAAAAATGCGGATCTCTTGGCCGGAGGGAATCGGGATGAAGGGATGTATTTCCTACTATATGGCTTGCCAAAATATTTCAATTTAAAGAACGAAAACCCTTTAAACCGAGAGGAATTTCTACGAGTGCTGGACAGAGTTGCTCCTACCAACGTGACTTTAGTACACGAAGCCGTTGTTTTTCAATATGAAAAGTCTGTCGCGCAACATAGTTCCAATAAATATAGGGACATTCTTGATGATATTGCAGGGGACACCAATTTTGTCTGTCCGACTGTCGATTTTGTTCAAGCGGCATACAGAGACGAAAAGCAAACTTTCATGTATCATTTTAAACACCGTAGTAATAACAATCCGTGGCCGGAGTGGATGGGAGTTTTACATGGATACGAAATAGAATTTGTGTTTGGAGACCCATTGAACAAATCGCTGAACTACACGGCAGAAGATCTAGATATAAGCCGACGAATGATGGTGTATTGGAGCAATTTTGCAAAATCTGGGTAATTGTCTTTTATGACAGGAAAAAATGAATGACAGGAAATGCAATGAAAACTAAACGAGAACGTATCAGACAAAATATTTTTATTCCTTTAAAAGTGAGTTGTGAAAATTAAAGTTTATATCGCCTGTGTTCTTTTTTATCTGTCGCCTTTCTTTTTCAACCTTTTTTTTTTGTTTTTTAGGAATCCTAACAGAGGAGAATCTGTCTCTAAAGAATGGCCTAGGTATACTCCCTCCAAAAGAGAATATTTTGTGCTGGACACCACGCCAGGAAGAACAGAGTACGGACTGCGCCACCGTTATTGCTCTTTTTGGAAAGAATTAGTACCCGAAATGTATTCATATGCAGGTATGTGCTAGCCTGGCAATCATGTGCTCATGTATTACCTTAGAGGACGTTTATTCATTCTAATATTAACCCATTTGATGTTTAAGAAATGTGTTTAAGTTTTGATTACGATCAAATTAGAAAGAAACCAATTGCGTCCTTTTCATATGAATTGCCCTGCAATGAGCTAAATTTTTTTTCCTTCTTAAGCTGGTACTTTTATCTCTAAGCATCATACGGAAAAGATCATTCAAGTACTTTCCGTCAAAAGAACTATTTACTATTAAACCTTTTTATGTAGAGATTATCTGTTTGGATTAGCTATGTCTGAACTTTGTCAAATAAATGATTTTTGGTCTTATAAGTATAATTTGTGTTTTCTTATTTTTACAGAGCGAGTTAGAGGGGTATGTGGTATCTCCGGTGGTGTGTTTCATTCCAGTTCTGATTATTTACTGATGATGACTGCCATTGCCTGTGTTCTGTTGTACGGTTTTCGTTAATTCTCTGTTTTTAGTTCTCTCATTTTGCTAGTTATACATAGGACCTGTTTCTTTGATTAGCGTTACCGTTATTATTAGTGTAATGAAACGGTATCTACAGTGATACAACATATAGCTATTTGCCGAACAAGTATTAATTCATGAGTAAGAGAAAACAGGTTATTCCCTGTATCTGAGTAATGATGAAAAGATGCCAAGGCTCGAGCGGTATACTTAAGTGATGCAGTCTGTATCGGTACACTTAAAGAGATTGACAACTTAATAGCCTCAAGCTATTTTATTAGAGAGTCACATAAATGAAGCCACCGCTCTCGACTCGTCCAATGTATGAAACTAAACAACAGGAAGCGAACTTGTGAAGGAATTATAAAAGGGAGCCAAAACCCGTAAGTGTATTTACATGGTGGGGACTTCTTAACGTACACTGGCACTGCCTGTACCGCTAAAATATACCGCTCGATGTGAAAAAGGCCTATTTCGAAGTCACTCTTGGTCGGATCTTGAAAGTATACATTGGTTGGGTGGCTTAGACTGCATTCCCATAGACACATCGGATCGACCAACTCTGCGGGGATTCTCGCTAAGTGCAATCAGCAGATTCAGCTTAATTGTCTTCCACGCCTCCTCGAGCAGCTAGGGAGTAATTAAGTCAAGCGTTTAAGTAGTTTAATTGCACTCTAGGTGCTGGGGGAGGTGTGTCATTTAGTTAAACTGATTGCACTTAACGAGAGCCCCTGCAGAGTTGGATCGATCCTCCTAGGCCGTTGTGTCTATCGGAATGATCCCCTTGTGGGTGTTAACAACGTGTGATTCGAGACAGAACCATTTCAATTTACCTCTATGACGAATTGTCAAACCTGCAGATATATAATGATGGATGGATTAAATGCATTGTTATTAGTTTATGGCGGCATGTAGGCCTATAATTGCTTTTGATAATCAAAAGCCGTGATCAGATGTTTTTCAATTGCCATTATATGCAGATTTTTTCAAAAATAGTGAAAAGAATATTTTTCTGGTGCAGCATGTGTTCAATCAAATCTCATGCCCTTCTTTTAGAAGAAAAAGCAGAAAAGTCCGTATTTTCCTGTCCATCCCAGAAAAAAGATATATACTCAACAAGAAGTTATACTTATTTCAGATACAAGCATCTCGCAGTATGAACTGTCAGATAATTGAACCTATTTTGCAATCGACATATTTCATTTGGCAGATTCTGGAATGGGGTTTGAAAGGTTCATCTTAACTCCTAGGTGTCGTAATTACTTCACTGCCAACTGATCGAGGTTCAGTGCCGTGAGCTAGGCACTGATGAGGCCCTCCTGTGCAGAAAATTTTCTTCTGTTATCCTTATTTCCCACAATCAAACTTAAAGCCCTCGGCGTATTTTTACGACATTTAAGTTGCCTGTTAGATGGAAGGGGGGGGGGGGCGTATTATGTTCTGTGTATAATGTACAGGTCTAGCAGTGGCGAGCCCATGAAATGTACTAGGGTGTATCAAATCTAGAATTAGTTTTAGGATTGCAAGAGTTGATGTTGCCAAAGCCTTTATGGGTCTGCCTCCATATGCCGATGGCTTTGGCGGGGCATCTCCTTAAATCGTACTTGTTTTGAAATAGAACCATGATTGCCAATCATTCAATACTATAGCATTCTCGTTGCATTAGTTAAATTTGTTTTAAGTTAATATGCCACGTTTGCATATTATATCCAGGGGCGGATTTAGGCCGTCTTCTGGGTCTTCCGGAAGACGGTCAGATTTTCAAGTTTACATTGATGGGTATCTAATTTTTTCTGTCGGAAGACGGTCAAAAATGAAGGATGAAACAACAAAGATAATTTGGAAGACTGTCAGAAAATATCTTTGGGTCCGCCCCTGATATCCCCTACATTTTCTGCACATATATTTTTGGCGTATACGGAATCTGTGAACAATAGGGTGAACAATAGCATACGCAATGTTCGAGTCTATTTAAATTGAGCTTTTATACCTGTAAATCTATGGCAAAACCACTTTCTTGTGACCTTTAAACGTTTTCCCCAAAGTATTGAATTTAAATGGGTATGTATTAAATGTCACATAGACTGTGAGAAATGTTATAACGGTTGTTATATTTAGAGTGTATTTTCAGGCAGCGTCGTAGCACGTGTAGACTACTATGCAAAAAGAAATAGTGTGAGAGTGTACTATGCAAAAAGAAGTGGTGTGAGAGTGTGTAAAGGTCTTTATTTATTTGATATCAAAATCCACTGATGCAAGTGGTAGTCACAGAGTGATCATGATTGTTTTATATATGTGTTAATTCAACTTAGGTTTTCCCCCTTTTATGAACACACGTGCTGTGTTGACTGTTACACGTGATTTTGCACGGGCTTCCAACTACTCAGGTGGCAAATGTTTTTACCTATGTACATACACTTTGTGGTCGGATGAATTTAGGACTGTACAAAATGTATTTTTTGTTGTATAGACGAGCATAGCTATTGTATATTTTGTAAGATGCCAATAAAATAAAAGGCATGTCACTGAAAGTGTTGTTGCATTTAGAAAAAATAATAATAATGTATTGCAAATATATCTTGTTTGCATTTGTCCCAATACAGACAATAGCGTGTCTCGTAATAGGCCTATCTTTATAAACAGAGCTGACAATTTAATGAAGAGTAGTTTTAATGATAGGGCCCCTATTTATTCATTGTTTAAATCATATCTGCCCCCTTTTTACGTGTGTAGGCCTACAGTTCTATTAGCTGGAAATCAAGAAAAAAATCAATATCCTCTTTATTCAGGAATAGCCATTAATTATATAAAAACAGAGGCTATTAAACTGTCTAACCAGCTTGATTCCCTTGTCATCTATAAATTCCGTGTGCCTATAGGGCCTATATATATAGGTCTAGTCCCTAAATCTGATCCCAGCTATGACATTTTTGTAGGCTACATTTTTTCAAAATATGTTTCAAATATAGTTAAGTGAAAGAAAGAAGGCAAAAAGAATTGGGGAAGCAAACTGTACTGATGGTTATATGTTTTTCACGGCTCTGTACTTTATCTTGGACGCACCTTATGTTGGGTATTGTTGACTGTAATGGGGGCTACGTCTCAACTGACGTCATCCTGAGGACAAGTGTGCTGATTTTCATCGTGGTATAGGATTATTTATATCAGTCAAAATTGAGTGAAATGTAGGCTACCCGAGTAGGAAATGCTTGATCCTTTTTTACATTGAATTCTCGAATATTTCATTAAAGTCGAAAGGCGTTACCACCCTTGAAATCTGATTAAAAATGCATACAAACGACACACTTTGAAAAATGTTGTTGTTAGCTCCAATGAAATAACGAAAAACAAAAACATGTCTTTTTACATTATATTCATGGAAAATGTGGTTGCGGTTCCGACAAGCAAAATTTTGATAAGGAGTGGCCTAAATTTACCGCTATCTATCACACATAACGCAATCAGGCAACTTCAAATGTGCTAGGTGTGAAGGTCTGTGCGACACCTGCGAAACTTAACCTTATTGTTTAAGCGTTTTATTAAAATAATTTCAGTGGACGCTGTTATGAATCAAAGATTCCAACCTTACTCTAAATGATAACACCGAATATATATTTATCAACCTATTTGAAATATTTCTGTTTTTACATTGTCGTAATCGTATCGTAAATGGGTTCTCCCGCCATTGAAAGAAAATGGCAGCCTTGTGATCAGACAGCTCAAAAATTTGCTTTATACTTAAAAACGCATGCCATATGAACTAGATAAAGAAAAAGACTTGTTCATTTGAAAGTTTGGATATATTTTTGATACTGTTATTGTTGTGAAACAAGAAGCTCTTCAAAGAAAGACATTTGCCGTTTTGACACGCTGCATCAGCCGGCCTCCACATTGTTTCTTGTGGCGCGAGGACAAAACCAGGATAAAGATTCAAGAATAAAACGACACGAAAGAACTTCAAAATGCCAAAAGCACCGTTTGAATTTAGCCCAGGCGATAAAATATTTGCAAAGGTGAAGGGTTATCCACATTGGCCGGCAAGGGTAAGTACACAAAAGCTACTGTAACAATCTACAACCACTTTGAGTCTCTGTAAACGTATTCACGAAGTAGGTCAAGGTGCCCACGTTTCGAAAGTTTTACAACCTGCAGAATTCTGTTGGAATTAAAAATTAAAATGCATAATATTCGACAAGCTATGTGTAAATGACAGCTGTGTTTCAATCCATTACATGTGAAGATGTATGAATTCATTGTGTCATTTTCCGAACTTTATGAACCCTAAAAAATCATTTAACTGTAGCACTGACAATTGTTCATCTGTCACAAAGAGCATGCAGATTAAACCCTGTGCTTGACCCCATCAAAAACTTGTGTACACATTGCTGTCTAATAAAGAATGTTAAGTTTTGTTTTGTATTGCAAAGAAATGTACAGCTTTAAAAGAAGTAGTAGCACTTAGATTAAGCTGGATATTTCATTTTATGTAATGAAACTTTTTCAATGCAGATTGACAGAGTGTCCACAGATGCCAAAATCCCGAAAGGAAAATTTCCAATCTTCTTTTATGGAACATATGAGACGTAAGTATGCTATGTAGGTCAATTGTTTTGAAATCTGTGCTTGCCATCGAACCATGTGGACCTTCATAAATGGCTGCTCTTCTTGTTAATCTCTTAAAATATTATTACAATTTTTTTTAACCGACTTCCTTTGAATGTTTTAACAGATTCATTAACTACTGAAAGACATGGGGAAATGGTTGTTTACCCCAGGAAATTTTTTTATGGAATTTTTCCCACAATAAAACGTTTTCATCCTTAAAAGTGTATATTTGGTTGTTTATTTGTCACTGGTGACATTTTATTTTCTTTTGGCATCCCAGGTATTTTCTTGGACCTAAAGACATATTCCCATATGAGAAATTCAAAGAAAAGTATGGGAAGGAAAACAGGAGGCCAGGTTTCAATGAGGGACTTTGGGAGATAGAAAACAATCCTGATGTAGTATATGATGTAAGTTTTCAGGTGAAATGACATATTCTGCACAAACGAATATCAAACAAATATCATCAATTAACATTCAGGTCTATTGCCTTGACAATGTCTTATAATAATAGTTCTCTTCATGAGTACAATTTCGCCAGGGTTAGTATGTTTAGTTTTGGCTTTAGTTTGTTTTTGCATAGTTAAATAACTGTAATGCCCTGGTAAAAGATCACATATGTCTTTTTAAAATAAAAAAGCGAATTTATAAAAATTTTACATGTAGAGTGAATTGCTTGCTAGATAGGACCTAATAACTTTATAATTTTACAGGGTCAAGCTGAAACAGCGGAAGAAGAAGAAGAGGAAGAAGAAGTAGAAAAAGAGGAAGAAGAAGCGGATGAAACAGAGGAAGAGAAAGAGGAGAAGAAGGCCAAGGCTGATGAATCTTCCAGTGAGGATGAGCCAATCAAAGCAGCAGTGAAGACCAGGGAGGTGCGAGTTGAGCTCACTGATATAAAGGTAAAGAATATTTTGAAAGAGACAGGCTGGCCTTATGGTCAAATCTTGTTTTTAATGTGTACATATATTTTTTGAAACCCTGTTGTATTACTGCCTTAAACTTTTCATCATATTGGTAAAGATGCAGATGTTTTGTACTGACTCTCCTTTACATTTGGCTCTCAGCTTGCTGATAGAGCTCTGTGTAATGTGAAGCTGTCTTAATGGTTGAGTATTTTGTCATTTTGTTTACAGAAAATGGGGACCAAGAAGCAAATTAATGCTAAAAGAAAGCGAAAAGATGATAAAGTAAGTACAGTATCTAGACTATAAAAGATAAACCTATATATAAGTATGTTTGCGGTTGGTATTTGTTAAAAGCATTATTTGATAAATGACTGGCATTTCAAAGGAAATGTATGGTAAAAATGGACGGATAGTGTTGCTTTGGGAAATAGCTAAATAACATTTTCTTATACATTTTAGGGGAAACCAACTAAGAAACCCAGAAGGAAATCCAAAGCTGAGGTTTCTGAAGAGGAAAGTGATGATGCTGAAACAGATTATGATGAAAAGATGTCAACGTCATCTGAGGATTCTGCAGATTCAGTAAGAAATATTTTTAAAAAGGGCCATGAAAGGATTTGGAATCATATGGTCCATTTTTCCACAGAGGTGCCCTTGTGTGACCAAGCCAAGCCCAGCAGTTACAATTATCACCCATGAACAATTATACATGAAGGCTTTGTAATTTTAATTTTGATCTTAGAAGATTTATAACAAATGTAAGAAAAAAATATAAATATTTTTTTTTTATAGTGATTAATATTTAATATTGACCAGTAACACAAATTTAAAAATCTTTTTATTATTTATGTATTTTATTTATTTATTTATTTATTTATTATAACTTTTTTTGTGTGTGGGCATTTCAATATGTTTCTGTTTTTAACTGCATCTGAAACTTTTTTACAAGGATTTTGCACCAGATTTGAAATCTTCAACCAAAAAATCCGGTAAGAAATCTGAAGTGAAAGGAAGACGAAAATCCAAGAATGCTGTAAGTTCTGGTAGTGATAGTGACAGCGAGGCAGAGAAGAAAAAGAGTGACAGTGATTCCGAAGAAGAGGAGAAAAAAACCAAATCAAAATCCAAGAAACAACCCAGTGCAAAGAAAGGTGCTTATATTATGAAAGCAATTTTATATGGTGCATTCTATTCTAAAATTTAAAGGAATTTATATGAGAAGGTACTTTTGTGGGCAGTACTGCCTTTTCAACTTGTGAAGTTGCTAAGTTCCTTATTGTACTGTTTTTCAATCTTTCAGCTCCAAACAAGAAACCACAGCCCAGTAAGAAGAAATCTGTCTCAAGTGATATTAGTTCAAGTTCAAGCAGTGATAGGTGAGTATATATTTGCTTCAAAGATTGCATATTTTATAATCTGATATTTATATTGAACATTCACAGCTTTTTAATGTAATTATCTTATATTTATTTTGAACATGCATAGCTTGTTAATGTGAATATCTTGATGTGAAAAGTTTAAGTTGTTAAGATATGATGGTGATATTATTGAAAATGTTGTTCTGTGATAATCAAGGAAACGATAAATATCCATTTATTTATTTATTTATTTATTTCTGTGTAGTATTGGCATTATGTTATATATGCAAAGTATGTTTCAGTGAGGGTGAAGATAAAGATTCTACAATAAGTGCCTGGAAAAAGAAGGACGAAGAAAGAAAAAAAGCTATTGAGATAAAAATGAAAGAACAAGAAAAGAAGTAAGTAAAGAATGTATATTTACATATACAGACTTGATGTGGCCGGAAATATGGTGATCCTCTGCATGTATTGTTGTCTTTGAATGCTGAAATATTCTTCTGGACACTATATGTTTAAAAATAGTTACATCATTATATAATATTATACAATTATATAATATACTTTTTCTTTCAACAATCACCAAGAATAAGAGAATCAGTATTATATATTTTGTTTGCTTTTCCCTCTTTTTCCTATATGTTAAATGTTGCTTGATTATATTTATTTATTTGGTTAGTAAGTAAGTTGTATTTTTTTTCTTGTAGAAGAAACCAAGAAGAAGAAGAGAGAATTAAGAAAGCAGGGGAAGAATTGAGAAAAGAGAAACAAGCACGAGGAGAAGATGTTGATGAAAGCTCAGATGATGAAATGATTGAAAGCAAGAAAAAGAAAGGCAAAAAGAAAGAAGATAAAGAGGTTGGTAGTATTTAGTTTGATGAAAACTGATGTGGAGATGTAAAACACACATTATAATGTTGACAAACTGTTTCTTTCAAAATTAGTTATAACAGCATTTTACATAATAATATTATATGTATATGTATGATTATTGATGAGAAAAATTAATGAACATTGACATTTTAGGACACCAAAAAAGAAAAGAAGGCAACAAAAGCAGACACTCCAAAGCAGGCAAAAGATAAGACCCCTAAAGTTGACAAGAAAGGTATGTTGTCAATTTTCCTGATTTTCGTGTAAAAGCTCGGTTTTTGCCATTCTCTGTTTTAAAGTAATGTTTAATTAAACAGTGATAAAATTGAGTACTAAGCTAGAGGTTTAAAACAAGAAATTGGTCATCCTTAGTAATTTTATTGCTGTTTTACAGGTTCAAAGGATCACAAAGAAGAGAAACTTGCCAAAAAGGAGAAGACAAAGTCATTCAAAGTAAAAGAAAAGGAAGCCCAAAAGCAGAAAGAGGCAGAAAAACCCAAGAGGAAATCCACTCAGCGTATTGACAGTGATAGTGAAGTAAGTGTTTGTCATTGTATGTGTTAGTTAAAGAGAAAAAAGAAACCTAATTTCATGACAGTAGATAAACTTTATACTTAGGTTTTATTTTTTGCTTAATGTATATTATCAACATATTTTTATGCAGTTTAGTAAGGGAACTTTTTTATGTACTTTGATAGGAGTCTCAGCCTGCATCTAGCACTAAGACAGAAGAAGTAAAGAATGAAAAATCTGAGGTATGTATGATTATGAATTGGTTGTCAGCTGATAGTTGTTCATTAGCTGGGATGTCTCAAAAAGAAATGTGAACAGTTAATGATATCTTTAAAAAATCCTTCATTGATAGATGTGAGTTGTGAGCTTTTTGATATCTTTTGTAATTTTCTGTGATTGATGGCAGTGTTGCAGCTTGCAGTAATGCCAGAATAGGTTACATTGACACACACATTATCAGATAATTTGTCAGCAGATGTTTATCTTGCTTAACTCTATTAACAGGATAAACACAAGCACAAAAATGAGAAGGATAAAGAAGGGAAGAAGACAGAAAAAGAAAAGAAAGAACGCAAAGATCCAGACTCTCCATCTGAACGCAAAAGCAAAGCTGAGAAGAAACAGTAAGTCTGTTGTGATTTTGAAGTTTAAACAATGTGTGTTATGACAATGGCAACAGTTTGTTCTAATTTTGGTCAGAATTAACACACTCTCTGGTGATTTGTATAAAATTACAAGGTGGAGTCAGTTTTATAAGTCCCTTTTCCTGATGCAAACATAATTAGATAGACAGAAATCAGCAAATTTTATGCCAAAATAAAAGCCATTAACGAATGATGTGGTCTGTTAAGTTTTTAGACAAACTTTTACATGTCTTAATATTTCCTTATTTTACAAGGAATACAACTGGATAGAAATAAAATCGGTTGCATTATTTGATTAATGATGCTTTTTACTTAATGAAAAGTGAGAAGGAAGAAGAAAAGAAGGAAAGGTTGAAAAGAGAAAAATATGAACAAAAGAAAAGAGAAAAGATAAACTGTGAGTATATTAATAAAGAGAACAGTTAGTACTTTTTACCTAGTTAACAGCAATATACCATTTATAATTATGATATAAGAATAGAAATTAAAAGAAGGATTGCTATTTAATTTGTGGGAGATGCAGAGTAATCAGGATATGTTGTTTGTAGGGATGTGAGCACCTCCTGTTCTTTGAAGTTACGCATTATTCTAATGGCAGTAGTATGTTTAAATTTCACATATTTCATGGTCTCAAATGTCTGTCTTCATTTTAGTCCTGAAAGTAGAAAAGCAACTGATTGAAATGGAACAAGAAATAAAAAGAACACTTTCAGTTGGCAATGCAGTAAGTACCTTTCTTGAGTTATGTTGTGATTTGTTTCAACCTTTAAGATTAATGTTATTACTTATGTAAAATCACACTTTGTGGATTTCATAAAAGTAATTAATGAATATTACGTAATAGATGTCTTATTGTCTAGTTATGTGATGTAAGCACAGTGATTATATATTATATGAAGTAATTGGATTATATGAAGTAAATGTTTAATATTTAATTTGTAAAACTGACATTTTGTACAAGTAATGTTTCACGTTTGTTTTAAACAGGATATAGATAAATGCATAGCTGTGATGGAGGAATTAAATAACATGACTATTGAGCCTGTCATGCTACAGAAAAATCCAGCAATTTTGAAAACTATTAAGATGGTAAGATTTTTTTTCAGACACATTTATATTTTATTGGAATTGGCTTTTATTCCTGGAAAAAGCATTAATCAATCAGACTTTCACTCACTTGATGTTGTCTTATATAGTTTGCATGATTAAACATTACAATTAGGCTCCATTCCCATAGACACTTCAGTTTACGTGGACCAACCTAACTCTGCGGAGATTCTCAAATGCAGTCAGCTTAACAGATTAACACAATCCTCCTCCTGGCATTAAGTAGCATAAAGAGAAGTAGGTGATTATGCATTGGAAACAAAAGAAGGCATTCTATTCAGTTAAGCTCAGACATGAGCTTTTTCCGTGGAAACGAGGAATTCCGTGTTTTTTATTCAACTCCTAAGGTGGCCCCTGGACCCCCGGCCAGTTGGGTGTTGGGTCCCATGATAAATGTTTAGAGGGTTTTTTTTTAAATCTAGGCTCATGTCTCAAGCTGACTGCACTCAGCAAGTGTCCTCATGGTGTTTATGGGAATGTACTTTTAGTCTACATAATACTTTGTTTACAAAAAGAGATGTAAAACTTGTTACACAATGTAGATTTTTCTAATGAATATGATTATCTGTATTCCTTTATTTATTTTTTGCAGTGTCGGAGATACAAAGGTGATTCCAGAGTTCAGAAGAAGTCAGAACTGATTTATAATAGATTCAAAACAATGTTTATGGTTGGAGAAGGAGAAAATTTTTCAGAGGTTTTCAGAAAGGCTAAAGACAAATATCAAAAAGAACAAAAGGAGAGAGATGCTAAAGAAAAACAAGAAAGAGAAAATAAAGAAAATTTCGACAAAGGTGAGCCCTTTAAGAGAAATATTATTATTGATAACTCCAAAACAGATGCAGTGGAATGTAAAGATCTAAACTGGAAGTTCACCTTTCTGGTTTATGAGGAAAATTTGTCTCATGATTGTTATTTGCGCAAGTCCATAAGTCCAACTTTACAAGCTCTGGTAGTTCTCATTCAACTTCTCCAAGGGATAGGGGAATTTTCAGATCCTGATTTATAAAATGCCATCTAATATCAAGAAATGTTTTTATTTGAAATTCAGATAAAGAAAGTCCAGTTGAAAACAAGGAAGACCAGCCAGATTTACCATTAACAGAAAGTGTCTCAACTGAGGTCCCTCAGCAACAACAGGAGGAACAACAGCAACAGGAGAACAAAAATGACAATAAAATGGAAGTTACCGAAAACATGCAACAAAGTATCCCTGACACTCCATTGCATTCACTAAGTGCTTTAGAAAGTAAAAACTCTCAGAGTGAAACAATAAAGGAATTCAAAGCTCAAGATTCAGAGAGTAAGACAGTGATTCCTGGCCTTGGGGGGACAGATGAAACAGATTCCAAAATGGACACAACAGAAAGCCCTAAAGACACGGGGCCTACAAAACCATTGGAATCAGATTCCAATAAAATTACAACTCAGAATGGGTTAGAACTTGAATCCATGGATGTAGATCTTACTGCCAGCATTTTGAAAAGTGTAGAGAAAGAATCACAATCTTCGGTGATGGAATCGAGTAACTTTGGATTTTCCCTCCAGCCTATGCCTGGTCTTTCATTAGGGCGGCCTGCTACGGAGAAACCAACAGAACAGAGCCGTTCACAGCTTGCTCCCTTGGATGAGAGGCTAAAACTGTTCTCTACGGAAGTAGATGCTGTCAAGTTTGATGATGAACCTGAAACACCTCCTGTGAGTTATTTTTAATGATGGAAACATTACAGTGAATGCTTATGCTTTTTCTATGTCAAATTGTGCAACACGGCTGCTTAGTGTCTAGTCACGTGAAAAAGATCATCAGAAAAAAGTTGAAATTTGATGCATTGGGCCAACTAAATAAAAATCTACCTATTTATATACAAGCACAGTGTAAATTCGTGAAATTTACTATTGGTCTTACAGTGATGCACTATTCTTTATGATTTGTTTAGTATATTTGTAATTTCCCCTTTGCTGTAGTGAAAATTATTTAATTTTTAAGCAATATTTTACTGTGCAGTAGTACTGGATTTTTAATAATACCATAGTCTGTTGAATAATTTTATTTAGATTGTTTTATCTTTGATCTTTTTTTTTTTTAGGAACACCGGGACCTTGAAGCTCGCATTGCACAAATTATCAAAAATACTGAAGATGGTGGAGATGCAGCAGCTACCAGCACTGCTCCTAAGTATGAAGCACCAGCACCAGTGGCACCCCAACCCGCGCCAGTAGTCCCCAAAGCAGTGGCGCCACCACCCATTAAACAAACAGTGGCAACAGAAAGTGAAGATGACCCTCCCATAGATGATGACGAACTATATCAAATGCTCGGAATATGACATGTGTATATTTAAATTGAATTTCATTGAGATTAATGGCACATATTTAATACATAAAATTCTTAAAAGACATAAGGCTGTGTACATATTAGTACTAGCTGAAAGTTGTTTTTGTCCAACAGACAGTCGATCATAGAAAATCTGAAAGACAAAGCTTCTAAACACTGAACAGTAATGTTGCGCAGAATTGCCATGTATGTCATTTGATGCCTTTATTACCTGTCTGTATTGGGGGTGAATGTAAAATGTAGTCTTAGATTTAGTTTCGTGATTGTTTCCTGTCTGGCTAGTTTGCCACTAATGATACTTGTGTTCATTCTTCAATTGGTCTCATCTTGAATCTTTGCCCTGATTATCATTAAATATATCACTGCTTACAAGCTTGACTGTAATAGTTAGACAAATCTTAAATTCTGGTGCGTAAGGGACGGACTTGGCGCTCAATATTGATTTTTTGATGAAAATTTTAATTCAAATCAACCAGGAGGGTCTTTATTTTCTCGCATGCTTATTATTGTATTCAGTTCAGTAGGAAACTTCAATGCGCCTTGGAATAAAAATAATTGTACATACTTGCTTCTAATTTGTGAAGTGCACAATATGAAACCAATTATACTGTGTAGAATTTGATTAAAAAGAGAATTTTAGTTTTGTATAAATCAGTTAACTAGATCGATACAAATCAAATAAGCTTGTATGCAAATGACAGTTAAGTAGCACTTCTCAAAATGTATACTGTGTAAGCATGTAAATTGTTAGCATGGTATAGATAAAACAGTTGTATTAATCAATTGGCATTTTCAATAATAAATGCCCATGAGAAATTCTCTGAATCCAGCTGTTTTGGACAATTCAGATTGTTGAAATCTCTCTCTAATGCTATAGAAAACTGCATATTTTCATGACTTCAACAAATGGAAAAAAAACTAGGAATAATACAAAATGTAAGACAATACCAGACGATACTTTATTTACATGGTATTACATTTTACATTAATAATGCATCCCAAGGTTACCTGGGAGATTTTAGAAAGCAGTGAGGAAAATACAACCTTGCCATATGTATGATGCTGGAAACAAACTTGATACTATACTTTGTGTGCATAGTATCTAAAACAATCCAAATGCATATTGAAAAGCATATAATTACATAACACAATATATAATTTCAATTACTTTTTCTCCATTTAGAGTATTTTTGATTTTATCCGAATACATTTAGATATGATAAACAACTATGCCAAGACAAAGTTTTAAATGAATTTTCACGTCCTCCATTATTAAAAAAAAAATTGTGACACTGTGCAAATGAACAACTTGCAGTTGAATAGAAAATTAAACGTAACCGCTATATTTAACGTGTCCATTTACCAACAAATCCTAGTTTGAAGAATCCATTTTGCAGGAAATCGTACAAACAAGAACCTAGAAATTTATACTCTGCCCAATAACTGGAACCATGCATCAGCTAACAAGTTACCTGGTTTTCTGCTCAGTCTTTGTAAACAAACAAATAAACAAAAGCCATACACATTATATCTTATATAAAAATGAACTTCATTTCAATTTATTACATCCATGTATCTTGTGCATAACACAAGAATATATATATATATATATTTTTTTTTTTGCAACTGAATATCTAATATGCTTACACAACCCTAGATTTCAATTTAGAAATCAATCAGTAAATTAAATGAAAGTTGCAACTATCTCTGTAGAAAAAAAGTAAAAGAACTGAATACTACATCTGGGGTTGCTCTAGCACATTATTTTGAGCATGCATTTTAAAAGCTTTCATGGCCCAGAGTAGATTTTCAAAAGAATTTGGAAAAAATCCTACACTAGTGTGAGCCTAACACTGTTACTATTACGCCTTATCATTTAGAATATTCAATGTTTCTAATGACAGACAATACCAGAGTTGTTAGCAATGACAAATAAGTGTCATGAGCTTATAGTTCAATATGACTCCTTCAGTCATACCCTATGACAAAATCTATCCATATCACTCAACATAAACTAATGTCTGTACAGCAACAAAGAAGCATTGTTTCATTAGAGATCTTGCATTTTGCAAACAATAAGGTTAATTTCTGTACAAATATAAGAACAAGAACATCTACAATGTATCACATTCCCTACGTATGAACAGACACAGATTTCTTGTCAGAGAAAAAGCTACGTAAAACTAATACTTGTCCAATTCCAATTATTAAAATCACAACAGTCTGTCCTATAGACCAGTATTGTACTCTTTCGTTCAGTCCCTCGGCAAACGACCTCCCCTGACCCTCTCTGAGTCTGTGGTGAGTCTGGTAATCTATTACAACTTTCATAGCTTCATGGATAGTTACTGCTGAAGATTCCAGCTGAAATGACCAGAAATGCATAATAATAATAATAATAATACAGTTCATTTCACAGTTCATTTTCTGCAAATCAAACTTGATAATCATTAATGCAAATATGAAGTGAGTGGAAAGAGTCAACAGTCACCTCTGTGAATGAAGGCAGAAACACATTTAGGATATAAAATAATTAAATGATGTATTTGATAAAACCAAAAATTATCAATCATTCCTACTTCACATAAGATCTGCCAAAGTATGGCCAGCAGTATCATACAAGTAACAGAAAATCTGTGTCATACCTGCATTTAATGACACACTTCTGTCAGCTAATATTAAATATGAATTGCTCTCTACCCGTACCTGTGTTAAAGCTTTAGCATGTGCCCCCATATCTGGTAAGAGAGGTTTCTCTTCTCCGACTTGGAAGTCAAAGTAAACTGTCTTATGGCTGTATGTTGAAAATTCATTGCTAAAACAGAAGGTGTATTCTCCTCTCATGTCTGTCGTCCAGGTGAAGCTATCGTACTGTTTCTTCACATCTTTATACAGAATCTGTCCTGAGGGACTCTTCAGTTCTAAATCAACATCATAGTTTCCACCTGTTATTACCTGATGAAAAATAGAAGAGTTCTGTAATTATAATATGCATTATATTTCTGCCTTTAAGAGGCTCTCTTCATACATCAACTGTAATATTTGTTTGTATAACATTCCAAAATAATCAATCATCATATATGATATGTATGAATTACAGCAAATTACATAAGCATTTTATAAAATCTGTGCCTTTCTAAAGAAAATGATGGTTTGAACTATTTATCATTATATTGCTACATAATACAATTCAATAAGCTAACGTAAAATATTGCAAGAACACTGAATGTTAAATTAACATTTAACTTGCAGAAAAGTGTGTGTATTTGTTAAAACTGGACACCATGGGAGTAAGCAAATTATTTTTTACTATTCACTATTTGAATAAGCAAACAGCATTTTACTATTCACCATAAGTTACCAAGCAATATGGAAGTGAACTCAGATAATTCACAATTTTAAATTTAATGAGGCCATATGCAACACATTTTTGCATCCTAGACAGTTTCACACGACTTCAACTAACATGCACTACACTCAAAAAAGTTATGGACAGTGGGAAAAAAAAACAAATTCGATAACATAAACAAAATATCATTATTTCTTTATGGTTGGATGGGGTCGCCGGCAAGAAAACCCAAGTGACACATGTACACGTGTACCAAAACCTTTTTTCTTTGAGCTAGGTCAATAATGCTTATTTCAGTGGTACAACGGGAAATGAGGTGTGCAAATACATTATGATCTAAGCATGGGCGCCCTTATATACCCTACAGAAGGATTCACAGTGGTACCTACTTGAAACTCTATGGTGCATTTGACATCCTTGTCGATAACTTCGTGAAAGCAATCTCTAGCGTTGTCTGGTAGTTCAAATGTCAGCTCGACTCCAAGGGCGAAATTACAATATAGTCCTAATATAACGAGTATTTCTAATAGGTAAGACATCGCTAGTATTTTATCTTCATTGACACAACAATCCGGCCTGTGCAAGTTTTACTACGTGGATGAATACGGCATACAGTTATCAAATAATTTGTACAAGACCATATCAACGTGGCAGGTGCCCGGATGAAATATTTGCAGCACCGGCTGTCGTAAAGAAGAATATATTTGCGTAGATATACGCTCACTCTATTTTCTCATTATTTTATAATGTACTTTACAAATCAGCAATAAACGTGTTTTTTTTACATAATTTAGTAACGACAATTTAATTCCGACGAAACAAAATAAAGTCGTGCATTATGAAGTACCGCTTAACGTTAAAATGACCTTGCTCACGTTTCTCCATAAAGTAGCCTCGTTTTCATATTTTCCAAATTACTTATGATGCATTAGACATTTATCATTGTGAGTTCAAGAACGCAAGGCACTGACGACTATTATGAAAGTTGCACCAGATCTAATATGTTGCATGTCTTAGCCATTTAATTGTAATGGACATAGTTTAAAAGTGATAATTATTTTGCTGCGAGGCATTTCAAGTCGTTTAGGAAACGGGATTTTCCGTGACATCTAAGTTAAAGAGATCTTAGGACATTCCTCAGACAGTGGTCTAAAATCCTTATCGTCGTCAGCCACGAACGCGTCACCCTCAAGCCATGCGTCCTTCAGTGACGCTAAATATTCCAAAGTCGTTCGCTTGCGATTGACATCAGGGAGTACAGGAAAGGTCACATGACTTCGGATATACAAAACTTCCTGTGACAAACATAATATTGCAAACTGGCAATTTGTTACGATTCTCCCCCGTCTCGCTCATTCATTTATATCTAAACGGTTTGTTTTTGGATTCTTTATTGAGAAGTTGAATATCATGTTTTGGGATGGTCAGCGACCATAAATTACCCTCACATGCTAGTGTCAGGGTCATGATAGATTCGGTGAGTCTACCCTGCTGGCATATGTGCCTTAATGTAATGACAGCAAACAACAATGGAGCATGTCAAATAATTTGGCAATTAACTTTAGTGCACAGTACATGTAACATACCTTTCTAAGATATAGTACTGTCAGCAAACTCAGCATTCACATACATTTCTGAACAAATATACGTAATTTATGCCATATCTATTTAGATCTGAAATAAATTAGGCCAGCTATATTTATGCATATATTTATCTCTGCTCAAAGACAGCTGGTAGGAGTTCAATAATTATACACATTTAGGTGTCTTAATATATATACTAAGGCTTTTACAAAAGAATGTTCTTCAATTTCAAAATATTTATAGAACGCACTTTGGAAATTTATCATCAACTTTGAAATTGTCTTGTATTTCAGAGTCCTGTGCTTAAGAGTTTCCTGGCAGGATCTTTCAGTGGAACATGCTCAGTGTTGTTGTTCCAACCTCTGGATTTAATCAAGACTCGGTTACAGTCTTCAGTAGTGAAAGGGCAAGTGATATTTGGAAAGCATATCTGCATAGGGGCATGAATATTTTCCCTTTTTTTTTTTTTTTTTTTTTTTTGTTTGAGTGATATTAGTTTCACAAGATAGCATTAACATTACGTTAGTGCTACATTGTATTATGTTCCATGACAAATGTAGGGCCAAAGGGTCTGCAATATGAGTACCAATGAAATAATATTAATCTTACAAATTTTTATAGACATTTAAGGATGATAATAGGATTAATTTCTCGTTTTTCTTTTTCAGACAGCACCCTGTGGCTATATGGACAATTGTTTCATCCGTCTTCCATCAAGACAATATCAGGGGTTTCTGGAGGGGGCTAACACCAGTATGGATACATCAATTAAATATGTTGATACTTTAATTTAATAATTTTTGTAATTTTTTTCATATTATTTCATTCATATTTGATTAACTTACTTTTATATTATATTATTTATATTATAACTATTATTTCTATAAATTATTATTTTAAGATATACACTTTAGAAGTGAAAACATAAATTAAAGTTAAATGTAACATTTGGTTGTTAGTTTGCCCTAAATGACAGGTGGCATGAAATTTTCTGTATGTTTGTATTTCATTTCCAACATTTTATCATTTTAGTCCATCCTACGCTGTGTACCAGGGGTTGGAGTTTATTTTTCCTCTCTTCATTGGCTTAGGACAAACTTTGGGTTTGTATACATTTTATATCATTTTATTTTATTTTGTTGAAGTGCACATTATCAAAATGTTTCCCTTGCATTTATTTCTGCACCTTAGAAGAACACAGTAGTATTTTATTTAACCCTAGATCTAAATGATAGGTTACTGTTTTTTAAATAATGGATAAATGGAATATTTGACTGTCTTCCATTTGATAATGACAGTGGATGAGTTTAGGACACTTTTAACAAATATTTTTTGTACCACAAAAGTAGATAAACTGGGCTCCGTAACTCGAACGCAATGCAAATATGCGACCGAGCACAAGTGTCTCTATTCCATAACTCGGCATTTACTTGCCTCATGTAATAGCCTCAAAATGAAAGGTGATATTGCTTATGCGATTCTCAATGATTTCAAGTTACGGAGCCCTGGTGAATTACACTTCTGGGTCATGCATGAGACACTGTGTATTTCATAAGATACTTAACTCATCAACCCACTGATTTTGCTGATTACTTAGATACTAGTACTAGTAATTGATTGCAAACGTAGTTAATTGAAATAGAAGGTCTTTACTTTCCTGAATATAGCCGTTTTGCTTTTGGAAAGAGGTTTTTTAAAAGGAGACCAGTGAATGATATTGATAAATTTCACATACTTAAACTAAGTACTACAGCAGTTTATTCTGCACACTTTCAGGAGCAGCAACCCTTCATCCATTGAACTCCTTTCATTTGGAGTTTTTGCCAGGTGTATTGCAGGTGTCACCTTGTCTCCTTTCACAGTTATAAAAACAAGATATGAGGTAATGCATAGTGAGGTAGTGCAGATGGTAAATTTGTCATTATTAAACATGGTGGGATGATTTCTGTATGAAGAGCCTAATCTTCCCTCTCAGTGTTTCAGAATTTTTCTTAAATAAAACTACATTCCAGGTCGTAACCAACAGTGGTAATGACTGAATGTTTTTAATGGGCAAAGAATTAAAAATTTTCAGATACATAATTTTAGAATCATAAAAATAGCATTTGTATAGCATTTGTTGTGCTTTTACTGCATAGAATAGAAATGTAAGGTTGCCTGCTTTTGAATTTCATTGCTACCTCTCAATAGGAATGTTCTTATTTTAAGAAACTATGACTTAAAAACACAGTATCTGTAAAATTCAAATTTCCCCCCACTGGAAAGATAGAGTTATTACTATATATACTACATATTTACAACATATACATATGTTACCTATTAACTGAAGGCGTGTGAAAGTATTTGCTGGGTAGAGAAGAATCGCCATCTGTGCTCTGAAACTTCTGGTCACATGCTTGAGTTCACTCGCTCACATTGCATATGGTTTAATCCCGAATAAGCACTGAATCAGATGTATTTTAGATCTTGTATCTTAAACTGGCGTGGAACTGTGCCTTCTTTGTAACTAATATATTTTGGAAATAAATTGATACTGCTCCCCCTTGTTTGCATCATATTAGCATCAATCCATAACAATAGCTACAGATATGTAGAATTGTAATGAACAAAATGAATTTCTGTTGTAAGGATAGGGTATTTTATGCTTTCTGATGAAAAGAGGGATATTAAATTTTCAGCTTATTTCATTAGTCAGCAAATTTTTTTTTTTGCTCTAAAGGAATCTCTGCTGTTAAAATAATGGTGCATGTGTTCTTATACCATCATTTAATTACAGAGCGATGTATACAAGTATAACAGTATAACCTCTGCTGCACGTGCAATATATCAAGGTGAAGGGATAAGAGGTAGGGGAAAAATGGATATCAGTATTAAAGAAGAAAAGAGTAATGTTATTGTATTAGTTATTTTATCTTACAATATTGTTTATCTCAGTTTTTGATCTGCTATGTCCCACCCCTAATATCTAATAAAGTTCCTTGTTAAGAAATTGCATGTTATTTATTTATTACATCAAATTAAAAACTTGACTTTTTGGTATAGACAACAGTCAGCATTTAGATGGCCATTGGTGTCAAAAGACGGCCTACATTTCCAAAGATGGCTAAACAGTTTACAAAATTTTGGGGTTGAGTTGTTTGGCTTGCTTGGATTGGACCCCCTGTAAATCAACAACCAAATTACAGATTCAAATTTTTGACTGCCTGAACCCCAAATCTTCAGGGAAACCCCCGACTCCAAATATTTAACCACTGCCTAAAGAGCAAAATGAGACATATATTTATTTTCTTTTTTCAAAATACTTTTTCAGGTCTATACTGTGGCTTAAGTGCAACCTTACTCCGTGATGCTCCTTTCTCAGGACTTTACTTATGGTTTTATACCAGGATTAAGGCTCATGTGCCTGAAGGTATAGCAAATATTTAAAATTGTTTTTGCTTTATATATACTGTATATATATATGAACTTTATGATTTATTATAACTTGACTTTTTAGTGCAATTTATTTGCTTGGTGTCTGTGCATGCTTTGTTAACTGTTTAGTTTTACTTTACAAAAACATTCGTCAATTTGAAAAGAGTGTGATATTCACTGCCTGCGCTTTTTCAGAGAGAGAGAGAGAGATAATTGGTTTTCAAACATACACCAGGAATAGAAATAGCCTTTGATGTGTTTTGACAACCAGCATTTCCAACTCTTTGAAATTTAGATCATTATTTTTTTCTTTTTTGGACTGAGGGACATCTCTTTCAAAAGCTTATGCATAACATAACACTTACAGTAATCAAAAAAGAAAATATAGAAAGAGTATACCAAATTAATACTAATTTCCTATTATCTAGATGTCTCTCCACATCTGCCTTCCAACCTGTGTCTAAAAAGAAAGGTAATTGGTATTGAATGGGAGTCTTATGTTCTAGGCTCTGCATTATGACTCAGTTTTATCCATATATATATATTTGAAAATTGTGACCAATTTTTCCTGAACACATATTTTTTTATGTATTCCTCTTGCTTTGGCTGTGAATTAACTATTGATGTTAATTATCCTTTTACAGGTAGTGTTGAGTAAGGTTCAATGTTAATTTAAGATTAATTGTATTGTCATTTTAACAAACATTTATACAAAAAGGAAATGAAAACTGAACATCTGCAATGGTTCAAGGTTTTGTCATTTTAAATGGTGATTTTTTAAAAGATATACATTTTTATCACTGTTAAAACAAACGGTTCTGTTAGCTATCACTCACTTTATTTTATTTCAACCAGATTTTACAATTTAACCAGAAGTGTGGATTTATTGTTTTCTTTTACCTTCAGGTGCTGTGCAAGAGAAGCATATGCCACTGGTGTATTTTGGCAGCGGAATTGTAGCTGGAAGTATGGCTTCACTGGTGACTCAGCCTTTTGATGTTGTTAAAACACATCTGCAGTTGTATCCAGAAAAATTCAAAGGATACATTGTTATTATAAAGCACATATACCAGGTAACTACTAATCCTTATGGGTTCTGGAGTGCAAATTTTTCATGGATTTGAAAAACTGTCAGTCAACTCAAAAGACTTACAAAAATTTGGAGTTTTCATGTGAATGCATTAAACCTGGCTGTAATCAGTGTATCTAATCCTGGATTTACAATAGTCAAAAAAAAAAAAAAAAAATTAACAACTTTTATTATTTCCCTTTTTCTCTTTTCTACTTCTCAGCACCATGGATTGGTTGGTTTTGTCAGAGGTATTGTCCCACGAACGCTAAGGAGAACTTTAATGGCAGCTATGGCTTGGACAGTATATGAGCAAGTGGGTGTATTTTGAGACTTATTTTCCCTCACATACCTAGGTCTAAGACATGGTAAAAGAACTTGTGATGTAGGTGTTTAATTTTTTAAGTCATTCAAAAAGGATGAAATTAAAGGTGGATTTACTAAATTAATATTTTACATATTCATGAAGTTTACTTTGATAAAAATTAATCTGTGGGGTATTTTGAAAAAGAAGTCTGTTGGTGATTGATTTTCATCTTTCCTTTTGTTTTTTAGGTAATGAAGAAAACTGGCTTGAAGGATTGACAAAATGTGCTCATTTGTAAAATGAAAACAAAGTCACAGTACTTTTCTGATCATTTATCAAGAAAATATTTATTGCAATGAGACATCCAACAAAAAAAAAATGAAACATAGAATGAGCAAATGGGGTTAAGATGAAAATCAATTCATTCAGTCTCATTTCCTGTGCCTCGTAGTATCATACATTCGTTATTAAAACTCTAAATTTAGCGAAAGCCAGTATTAAGAATTGTGCTAGTCCCCCTGAATTGATGTGAAGAGTTATAAAAATCCATATTTCTTTGTTATACACCATGAAACTAATACATTCAGATTTATGCAGACAGGTGCATCAAATCTTTAAAAGGTATTTTCCTAATACTTGTGAATACTAATAATTGATTAAAAAAGAAAGAAAAACAACTTACAAGGGTACACTTCTCATCCGATTGTGGATCTGTCATATTTGGTTTTACATGCACATGTCAATATTGTTTCATACATTGAAGGCTTATAACAAGACATATCCTGCCCAAAAGCCGAGTGTTCATGATTTTTACTTGACGTTTCTTATAACTGTTAAACATTGCTCACGAGAAAGCAGAGAATTGATGAGAATTAATTTCACATGCATTTAGTCTAAGTGCAGTCTGACAGTTATCTTTTTGTTATACATTGCATGTTATTTCCATGTTGACAATTTATAAATAAATATCATATTTTTTTTTCAATGTGCTGTTTCGTTTAATGTGGTAAGTCCAGCATACAGGAAGTTCTGCAGTTTGTTAATATGGCAATAACCTTAGCAAAAAATTAGCCCAGCTCTGTTTAGTAACAGCTTTCTGAACTATTCTCTGTTAAGTGCTTTACATCATCCCGACTCTGTCACAGTGACTAAAATACATAAACTGACAAAGACACATGTATGGTGTGAACAGCTGTTAGACTTTAGTTAATATATGCTATCACCAAATCCAGATGATTTTAAATGATACCGCACTTGAAACTTTCTTTGGCTTCTCTTCAATTTACTTTCCATTACAGTTTAACACATTGTCTATGGGTATTTGATTTCTTTCTAGACTACACTTGAGTATTTCATCGGTAGCCACCTCTCATTATAAGTGGGTCTTGCGCTAGTCCATCATGACTGTGACCAATACGATCTGAAAAACAAAAACCAATGCCATGTAGCCAAGAAATCTAGACAAGATATTAAAAGAGAATTTAAGACCCCATTCCCAGAGATTAGATCGATCCAACTTGATCGACCTAACTCCCTGGGGGTTCACGCTAAATAGCTGTCAGCCGAGTGGGCACGAAAGTTAATTAACCCCTTACAGCTTGTAGTAGGCAGGACGGACATTTAAGCCAGATTATCTGACACTAATCTAGTGAGACTCTCCACGGGGATAGATCGATCTAAAATCTATGGGAATGGGCCCTAAGGGGGGGCATCTTAATGAAAAAAGGTATTTCTCAGGATATCAGAGAAATAGAAAAGGACTACTTCCATCAAGCTGACTGAGGGTTAATTTACTACAAGTTAAAGGCCTTCAATTTCTTCTGCAGTGTGAAAAATTTGCTCAACCACACTGAAAGTATAATGCTGTTCCTGGCATGATGAAGCATGACAGAAGATGTTATAATCGGCTTCAAACCTCTCCGATAATTGGGATGAAATTTTTTTGGCTTTCGTAGGATTTCCAACTTTTTGGGTGTTGTTGGTGCTTACAACAGTAATGGGATTTGTTAGACTAGCAGTAGATTTCCGACTTTTTAGGAGCCAAAAAGTCTCATCCCTGTGATAAGTGCTGGAAAGGAGATGGGTATCATTTAAATTTTCTATGATGGCCATGGCTATAGCCCAGCTGGTGATCCAACAAAACCTCTGGCTCATGTCTGCTGTTGAGCTCTTGCACTAATCAAATAATTATGAAATATACTTTACAGGCCTGCATCAAAATGTGCTTGAGTGACTGGGTTACTATACCAACACTGCAAATCCTTTCTGCTAGACGGTACAGTAAATACTACACAAATTTTAGATCATTAATAATGTTAATGCAAAAAAAGGTGAGTACTTTCTGAAATAAAATATTCCTTTTGTGTAAACAATTACATATATAATGTATAATTTCATTCATTTGAAAATGGGCAGTTAAGACATTACCTCTATCTAGCTGTTCCAGCAGTCCCATCCTTCCCCTACCATGTTGTTCTTGGTGTGCAGGTTTGTCTACTTGATGTCTACTTCCTGGGGTGAACTGAGCAATGATACTATACAGAAGAGGTCTGAAAAAAGTTAAAAATGTGTTAGGAATGTCGATTTGTTATCTTCACTACTATATAGTTTTGTCCAAGATTTGCATCTTTGTGTACTGGTATGTTTGGTGCATGTTTGAAGTTATTATTATCATTGTGATTATTCATGATCACTTTCTCTCCACTGCTTATGAGATGTACAAACTGTTCTCACAATTTCAAAGAGGATGCTGTTTTATCTTCTACAACATTCAATTGCTCAGCTAGGAACTCTCTGTTCAAAGGTGTTTTTGGCTGCCCGGTTTCTATCAAATGGAAAAAAAAAAGTCAAAAATGAGGTTGGCACAATTTGTTTTCATTTATTAACAGGGTAATACATAAAGCAAAGGAACTAAACACTTAACAATCAAGCTTTTTCATAAATGATTCCATCAATATGTTTCCGTCTTAAAATATTGTTCTAAAACTATTGCATTTTTCATTTTCACCTTTCATATTTGAACTGCATACAAAGTTACATCAAAATAAATCCAGGGGTTCAATTAAAAAATTGTTTTAAAATGCAATTTCTTTAATGTGCAAATTTAAGAAAAGCAAGGACAGATGATGGGAATATTTTAACATACATAAAGGCGAAAGAAACAAGTAGGGTCGCCCAGAATGTGGTATGTTATTGATTTAAAATGACAAATTCAAGGGGTAAGTATGGATGCTCACCTGCAAGCATCACTGATGCAGTGTACTTGTACTTATTATATTCAAGATATTCTCTTATTAACTCATTGATGATCATGTTTTCATTACTGAGAGGAGGTCTAGGATCTGCCTGATCATCAAGTGCATTGAATACCTCCGCCCTGACCCTGGCCTTGATTTGACCAAGTACACCACGCTTTTCCAGTGTTTCCTTGACCACTACAAAAACAAAAAAAAAAAATGTATACTGATATGAGTGCTTTCTGCCATCGTTTGTATTCATTAACATTATAATGATGATATGAAATAAAAACTGGATTTCTGAATGATAATGAAAGAAATGCCCATGAAATATGTCAATATATTATGGTTCTGCCCTGCCAGTCTGGAAGGTTTAGCTGAACAGACACATAGGCAGCTTGCAAAACTTCTTGGTATTTTAATAAGGGTAACTGACATAGGTCAGTTTACCTTATAAAAAAAAGAGTGACAGGGCATTACAATATACAATATAACTTATTTCCCTTATATTTGGAAAGCTCGGACTGACATGTTCCACTACGTGACCAATATTTGAATGTAGGAAAGAAGACATGTTCAAATTTAGCAGGGGCAGAATTTGAAGTTTAGTTCACAGAACAAATACTGCCAATCATCAGGGACAACCAGGACAAAGTACTGTGTTGACGCGAAGTTGCACATGGATGGACGAATAATAATAATTGCAAATCCTTGAACCATATTTTGAAATTGAGAACAGGTTGGAAGCAATTTGACATTCCAAAGTTGGTAGATTCATTGGAAAGGCTTGTGTCCAATTATTATGAGGACATAGAGAGGGTGTTTATACAAGGGGGGGTTCAACTAGCAGATGGATGTAAGGATTTTGTAGTAGATTTCAATGATTGGGAAAGAATATCCTCCCTGCAAAGGAGACAACACCTCAAGAAATTTCTGTGCACCCCAAAGACGCTAAAGCCCATGGTTGCATCTGAAGATCTCTGCGTCTTCTAGTCTCCATAACATAGAAAGAAATCCTGCCAAGAAAAGCAATCTCGTGCCACCAGATCTACTACACTGAAATAATCACTAAGAACAGGTTTATTTTTGCCTATTCAGATTATTTCTGTGATAGATTTTTCCATTTATATAGACGATTACAAAACTTTGTGATATCATAGTTTATTATATAGGTAGAACTTGCGTTAGGCTTTACGAGGTGAAATGATGAAATTGAAAATCGCGTACCATGTAGTAAATGGTCGAGATAGATAAGGGTATCACTTCCCTACTCAAGAATTTGAAGAAACTTTGCAATGAAAAGTCAATCCCGTCGAAAAGAGACATCCCCCTGGGATGATAACTTAGGAATTTTTACTTTTTAGCCAAACCTACCATATCCTTAATATAAAATGACCCGACCTAACATTACAAAATCGATCAATCGGTGTTAAATATGTAAGTAATCCATCATTTCCTACCCGTCTTCAATTCTTGCAAGTTCGCCATTTCGAAAAGTGCGCTGTGGATACGTCATTGTTTACACAGGTTTCAGTGACGTAGAACGCAAAAGTTTGTTCAACATTTGTGTTAAGAAGAAAACGAAACTAATTCCACGATGGTCGTCATCAGCAGATACAATAAGCAACACAGCTAAAAAAAGTTCCCGCCACACTTCTTAACACTAACTGAGCATTGGAAGTAGACGACCAACAATGTTACATTATAGGGGAAACCGGGGCTAGTTTGCCCAGTTAGACACTTTTGGCCTTGTAAAGCCAACTGGGAATGAGTTTGAGAAACAAAACCGGTTTTATCAGATTTTATAACAAGCGCCAAGGCGTGGCTTTACATGGATCCAGGATTATTTGAAGAGGGGGGTCCGGTTTTTAAGAATGACAAGCCGCGGAAGGGAAGCCGACCCCTTCCCCTCGCCCCCCCCCCC